CTTTGCATTTCAAATTTCCTTATGCCTGTAAATAAAGCATAAGGTAGGTAGGCGCCTTAGGCGCAGAATTTTGTTGAGATCGACTTATGACGGATCAGCTAAACGTTAAGCCGCAGAACGCAACATCTAAAATCATTATCTAGGGGCGGTGGGCGTACATTCTTAATGTATCTAAAAAAATGTTTTAAAAGAGTTGTTATGGCCTTATTGTAAGGAAAATGGACCCCCACAAAGACTCACTTGGTTACGATATAAAAAAGACATCTTAACGCGCTTGTCTTGGGTTTGAGTGTGATACATGACGAAACCTAGAGGGGTCTTCTTTTTATGCGAGTTTTTCAAGGGCCACAAACTACAATGGCGTACAGTACCGTTGCAATTCAACGGCTGTTAGAAAAGGCTGTGTCTTTCGTTCAAATAATAACGGTAGCCTATGCGCGAGTAAAAACGCTATCGATGCAAGTTATACCCAATACAAATTCTAGCGCAACGCGACTATCGCGTCTATTTCAACACGTCCTAACACAGAAACGGAAAAGTTTCAACAGGAATATGTGAGAATAGAGGGTGGACAGGCATAGTTGTAACAGTTTTATGTGTCCTTTCATTTTACATCTGCTTCTTGTTGTATGTCGTTCCTTTTATGTGATTCCGCACCAGCGTCGTCTGAACTGTGGACTTTTCATCTGTTACGTTAGTCGTGCTGCCTTCAGTGTCCAGGGGGCGGCAGCTATAAGGAGTGGAAGGCAAAATAACTAACATAGTTACTACATATTTGTTGGTTGTGTTTTTGTTAAAAAAAAACCACAACAACAAGAAGAAAAAGAGTGAAGAGAAAAGAGGAAAGATATTAGCTTTTTTTGAATGCTATTAGACTGTACCAGAAAGGGTAGAAATGTATAATTACGATTATGAGAAAATCTACGTATAGTTATAACTTTAATTCGAATTTTTCGTTCGGATTAAATTTTGCCCCTTTCACTTCCGCTGCCCTTATAGTCCGCAACAGGAATAGTTGTGTTGAACGATTGTTGACGTTTTCATTTAGAAGCAACGTGATAGCTAGTAATTATAATAATTATTCCTATACGTAAAACTATTCCTAGACACTTCATTCAACCTTTTCGTTATCGAACAAACTATTCGAAATTAGTAAAGCTGCACACCTGAGATTGTGTGAAAATACTAAGCCTTCGTAGTAGATTATTTCAAACGATTTGTCTTATAGTTCTGCTTGGACGGCGTTTTTCCTACTTTAATAACGTTCACGACTCAACGTGAGCACTTCACAAGTGATAGCCGTCGTGACGTTTTACCAATAGGCCTTCATTAATTTTGTTCGATCGTTTCTTTAGACATTTTACAGGTAGCCGCTTCTATTCGGTATAACAATCACAGGTTGGTGATGTGATTATGGCCTGTTAGGAGCGAATTAAATACTCGCCAAAGCCTTATTTAGCAACCTACACAAGCTCCAGGCTGCGATCGTTTTCGATGAAAGCTAGAAAGCCACGTTGAGCTATGTTTCTATACCAGCATTCGTCTGTTAATCACACTTTGCGTTCGGGCACGCGCATAGGCCATCTGCTTCATCGACGCTTTCCCTCACGATGGGTCACCGTTGAGCGGGCTATGCTTCCACGAATTTTTCTAAGCACCGCACATAAACGCCAGTTAGTAAAGATGCAGATACTCAAAGTAATAATTAACAGTGCATTGAGCCCAAGAGAACGTATTTACTGTCTGTAAAATAGTGAACTCGTGAATCAATTATTATTACAAGAATTACTAAATAGAACACAGAGCAAATGTATGTTGCCTTAAGATACAGCTGATAATATCATGTCTTGCTAAAGCAAATGTTCCGTGAACTATTTCTTAGTGCACTACCTATGTGGAGTGTACTAAGGTACTATACGATACTACGATAAGTACTATATTCCCCCCAAATAGTGTGCTATTCATAGGAACACTGCATTCTTGTTTTTTTCGTTGAGTCACTCACGAACTATCGTTACGTCCACTAAATTCGTCGCCGATTATCGAAAAACCCTCGTCATAATCACAGCTAACTTGTGCCCCCCCAGGATAAAGGTTTCCTTGTTCCGCAATTGCAATCAGGCAAGATAACTACGTTTGATAAGTAATAATAATTTCATAACCTTATAAAGGCCGCTATATGGCCCTACCCTTTTATCGAAATCTATTTTTATTGCTTGCTATTGTTGTAAACTAATATGATTTACTGAATATGCACATGGAAAAAAAAACGTATGTGAAGTAGTCTGGACGCATTATACATGGGAACAATATTTTAAGCACCCGCTATTTAGTCTGGGATGCCATGAAACTCAGGCGTATTGATAATCACATTTTCAATAACGATGGTTTTTGGCGATGGCGGGCGAACATTTTGGCTTGTGGAAATCCTTCGGTACTATAAAGTTTATCAGATCTTTCCACCGTTTTCACGACGCACTTATCCATCATCAAAAGGGGCCCAGACGATTCGAAAATTTTATTTTAGTGAATTCATTTGTCAAAGCTCTGAAATTTCTCGAAATCTGGCAATGGTAGTAAAAGAAACGTGAAGGATGAGTAATCCGGAATAATCCCTTTGTGCGAGAATAACCGCGATCGGTCTAACCCAAATGATTATCGACCCATAATTATTACAATTCCTCATGATGAACTTTTCGTAATGGCGTGCCAAAAACCAAATCTCAGCTTACGTGGAGCTCGCCCACTTGGCAGATGCTAATATAAATCCCATAAAGTCCGGCTAACTAAATTTGTTTGTTCTAATATAATAGGATTTATTGGCTGTACAGTCGAGGATGGCAACAGTGTTGCTTAGTGTTATCGACATTTGCAACATCTTTCATTTGTTGAATAATGTTATGTTAAAGATATTGTATCACCTCGGATAGATCACATTTTTTTTTGTAAATGATCTACATCTAATAGAATTATGCCAGGAAACGTCCTTTCTGACAAAGTCAAAGCTTTATAATTTTATTTCATATATTTTGTATCGAGAGCAACTTGCATTAACACGTACTTTTTTTTGGGGTGGACAACAAGCAGAACCGTCTACGAACGTCTAAATTAGCAGTAGCCTAGAAAAATGTTATTCGAAGTAGTTTCCGATCCAGTTGACAGAAAACGTATTTCAAGTTATCCTTGGTGTCCTCTAGCCAGTACAATCAAATGTCCAACAGCAGTCCTGGATGATTCATCCCTAAATTTTCTACTATGCACGTAATAGACATTTTGGGCACATTAGAACCAGAGCTCTGCTCGTCCCTGAAAGTAGATGACAAATTCAACTGAACGTTTGTGACCGAGGTTTATAATACATGATCCCTCTATGGCTTCGGGCATAAGGTAATATTTAATTTTAAAGCGTTCTCTAGCTACTATATTCTTACGTATACATGTAAATGTAACACGTTTGATAATATTAGTCATATTTCAATAATTTTGGAGGATCCGCATGGATTTTACACGAATTATTGATTCTATGACGGCATTCAACTTTTCAATAATGTCTCTGAATGGCCACTGCTATACTATATTTAGGTTGATAAAAAAAAATCGAACCTGTATGTAACATGCCGTTCCAGTATTTAGCCCAAGCTTTATGGCCAGCAGTCACAGTTGCCGCGCAGAAAACATATGGCAGTCCAAGTTATTTAGTTTAATGCCACGCTATACATGTATATTGTTTTCAAGCCGAACAACTGAGCAGAAAATGGCGTCTTGACAAGTATTTCGATTACATAAAGTAACGTTACATTACCTACATATATGATGATGATGATGAGAACGTATTTCTGCCTAGATATCAACTTTGAAGTTCATGTGGTTTCCATGAGAGCCATAGAATGCATCACTGGCAAGCGACTTAGTCCCACTTACCAATTAAAAAAGCTTTTAAACTTTAGAACTTATTCTGAGAAACGAAGTCCCAGTGAAGTTCTTATTTCTAGGCGCTTTGCTTTTGACTGCTTTCAACAAGTTTGTGTCACGCTCGGACATTGTCTACAGCGACCTATAGAAGCCTCACTCATGGACAAGCAACGAGGAGAGTCCGAACATCAATAAGTTATCTAATGGCTGTAGAAGAATTAAATTTCAGATGCCTGTTCAGAAACGGTTAGAGAATAAGTCCGGGAAACAAAAGCGCCCTGCTAACTTTTATTCAAGCGATAATTATAGTAATTAAGGTATATAAGGAATGCTGAAATTACTCGCTTAACGACACCGACATGGTGGCATATACCTAATACAAACGTACCGTATGGGCTGTTAAATTTGTTGACCCCAGTGAGACCCGGAGTGGCACGATGAGCCATTCGATATACTTTTACATTGTGTATAACTAGACATCGTATTATTAGGCTCTTTCTTTTACTTGTCATTTTTCTGAGTTTCACGCACACAGCTCCGACAATTTATCGGTATGTGATGAACGCGTAACTTGTCTTATCCTGAATGGCCTGCATTTCCTCGAAAAAGTCAGCAATATGACGATCAAAGCCAAATTACCGAAGTGTTGACTATAATAATGATAATAATAATAATAATAATAATAATAATAATACCTGAAATCTGTACTAGTTTGACTGCCTCTCCGTCAGCGACATGCGTTCGCTTCATTGCGATTTCCTGTTACGCAAAGTAAACCCAGACACCGTTTATTGACATAGACGTAAAATTACGTGTTGCCATTTTTTTGAGCGTTTGCCACAAACGCTGCGAAGAGAAATCGCTTGCTTATCAGATGGTGGTAATGTCTGTTCATCTCTTCTCTTTTATTTAGGGTACTATCAAAGATAAGATTTACCAGTCAAGCATATTCAAAAAGTCAAAAGAAAAAAATTATCACCTTGCATGGTTATTAGTCAATATATATAAATATTTGCTCTTAGATCTAACAGTCTCTGTTTAATATATATATATATATCACTTTCAATGAAAACAAGGCAATTCATAGCATATTGAGTATATTTTATTACTAGTTCCACTCCTTTAAATAAAACTGCTTATATCAATAATCGTATTCCTAGTATCTCGACTGAACCATTTTCACTTGTTCGAGCGTAGCAGGAAAGCAGCGACGACTTCATTATATGACGCAATTGATTTCCCATTTACTACTGACAAGATCACTATAATGAATGACTCTTTTTAATGTTTTATTTAACAAACATATTTAAAGGAGAACTACGAAACTGATAGATACTTAGCCAGTAGCAAGTAGGCACCAATTAGCCGCCATGAATAAACCACAGAGAAACTTCACTATAACTTTCTTTTACACTAATAGTTGTAACAGAATACTTTGTGCTATACTTTATCACTGAAATATCGACACGTTACCGTGTAGTTTTAGCGCTTTTCCCATCGCGTGACCTTTATTATAGGTTCTGTTTGTGTACCGCCGCTTAAGTACTATCGCTTAGTAGTAATATAAGCTATTCCTTCTTTTTCCATCTCCTGTTGCCATTTTTTTACTCTGTCAACTTCGTGTCGTAATCCTTCGATGCTTGTTCGTGGGTCCCTCCTTGGCAACGGTGGACATCGACACTGCATCCTTTTTTTCAGCATGTCTCCGATTTGCCCATCAAGTGTCTGACAACGGTTCGCATCTGTCGGATGGGTGGATAAAAACTCCGGGATTTTTTCCTGATTTTTTAACTCTCGTAACAATTCCATTTTTGCCCAGAAAGTGCTGCTATGTCGTACGTCAAAGCACGCCTTTGCAGCCAGTTCTAAACCAACCGTATCAGCTTCTGTCTCAAGCTTTCTTGAGTACGGCAGGTGCAGCATAAGAGCTACAATTTTATTAAATAACCAATGAGTTATGGCAGCTATGCCATCGGATGGCATTACCGCCCATATGACAGCCAATAAGAAGACTACGCATATGTCAACGAAATGCGCATAGGATATGTTCTCAGCACTATGGTTGAGGACGGCATGGGCCATCTCATGCGCTAAAATACAGCCGAGTTCGTCATCGTTTTGACAAAGCTCAAGCATTCCACGAAAGACGTAGATCTGTCCATTTGGTAGAACGAAGGCATTTTGTAAAGGGGAGTCGATCACCGAAACAGACCAATTTTTCTCATATATTTGGGGTAGGTCTCGATTACCCGCCAGAAGCTGCTCTGCAACAGACTTCATCCTACGTACGTAGGCATGGTTGATTGGAAAGAGATCTTTTCTCAAAGGCACTATCTCCATTTTATGTTGAAACTCGGTAAGTTTTGCCATTTGTTCATCACTGAATGCGATAAATCGTAAACGACCTGTAATTGGAGCTCGCTGTAGGTGGCTTATGTAGTAAAGGGACCCAAGGCCTCCTGTGAGGCTTAGGCCTAAGGCAATCTTTCCGCGATTTTCACGGAAGCGTTGAGCAAAGTAAGCACGCCTGTTGGGCGGCAGCGATTTCCACCACTTTCGGAAACCACGACCCGTGAATATGGCAAGACCCTTAGCTAACTGACGAGCTACCAATATGACCAAAGGGTGGAGATACCGCTGGGAATTTACGTGTACACCAAACGTTTGTCTGTAAAGCGCTTTTCGAAATAGCGGTCGAGATGAGAGATTATATTGTAGACGAGAAAATTGCCGCTTCACAGTTGACTGATGCGGCATTACAGCTGGAGTAAAACTGGAACGAAAGGCTACGAAGAGACTTTGACGCCACGTCATGGCTATTATTTGGCGTGAGGCTCGTACCGGTTAAGAAAAGCTAGAACGCCGAGTGCGTCACCGCAGCGTCTTAGAAAGGCTTTTCGACAGTCTAGCAATACGAAAGGTTAATTTGATCGTTTACTTGAATCTGGTTGTTCTGATCTGTTTCAAGAGAAGGGCAAGTAAATCAGGTGGGGTAGGAAAAACGAACTGGCCATACAATTTACCTGAAACGGAAGAGAAAGTATGTATCTGATGTTTTACGAATCAGCTAACAGAGTACTATATAAAAATCGTTATGTTTGCCGCTAGCCTTAGCAAACAAGTCTCTAGCCCCGTCTGAACTACACAAACTATATGGAAAACAAAATATTTTTATTAATATTAAAATATAGCATAAAAAGGAAGGTAAACGTTCGATCGAATTATGATAAAATCCATTGAAATGGCTCATATTTTCTAATTTATAGATTTCGTAGAAAACGTAAGCGAATTAAAGGACGATTTCCATACAGCCCAAGGTGTCATAGTTTCTATGAAGAGATAGAGAAGTAATTTTGGGTTGCTGATGTATCTCATTATAGATTACTTCCTATTTTCCTCACCAAAAAAAAGTTATTAAATAGTATTACTATATATTATTTTCACAACTATTATTAGTATGATATTCATCGAAGTCACACGATCTGAGGAGTTTGCTTCAGGCCATACTCAAATATTTAAGAGGCCGTCTCGTACGGATATACCATTAGTCACATTATCACAGAGTTAAGCTTCCATAACATGATACAGCCTAAATACACATTCCGAATTCTACATTCGCTATTATTATTAAGCTTAGGTTTCAGACTGCTGGCTCCCTCTAGCGTCAAATTCAGTGTGTCCATCTGCGTCCATTTGCACCTAAACCGCTTTCTACATCCTGAAAGTTAGTAAGCACGTTAACCCTGGACCGTCACAGGGAGACCGACATGCAGTGTATGTAACCTAGTATGTGGTAACTTCTAGAATCTTGCATTAAAAATTACCATGCCATGTAACACATGTGACACCATTAAACCGCTCACATTTTTTGTCAGTACTACAACTATCCCTTACGACAACATTGGAAAGCTAAGGAAGAGTAGCGGCAGTTCCACTCCGTTGCGACTAAAAGGGAGTGCGTATAATGCGGTTCGTATTTCACACACATGGATCTACGGGAGACTCGTTTTGTACGTTTTACCATAAGTTTCTTAATGTCTGTTTTTAATTGTGCCACTGGTTTTAAGGTCTACGTACCAAAAATGTCCAAAATTTGTGTCGCTGTTATCGACACAGTCAAAGAGATGTGTACATTTTATTCTCTACTAAATAAAGATCAATTCAAGAACCGAAATTTTTCTTACCGTTTCCGAAATCTTTCGCCTGCACCTCATCAACGGAACTGTTCCGCGTTATGTTTCGTTGCTACATTCTCTCTAGTTGATACCCTTGTTTATCTCTTAAAGAAGTTTACACTTGTGACGAAAATTAATTCTATCGACGAGTTGTTGTGGGTAGCAGGTGCAAATTTAACTACGACATGTAAAGCACGAATTGTTATTAAATATCCATAGATTGAGCTTGGTGATCGTTAAAATTCGTGAGTTACACGTGCGTTCCAATTCGCCACCGTACGGTTTTGCACAGCAGCCGCTCCAAACAACGGAACGAAGAGGCCATTCGTAGTTGTCTATGCTTCAAATATCGAGGATGCGCGCATAGCCTGCGCGTCCGAAAATTTCAGACTACCCCTGCGGAGAGATGGTATTATCGAAGCGTGTGGGTTGATATAGTAAAGCCATTACCACAAGGGTGGAACGTCCTTTAAGAAAACTGGGCGAAGATAACGTTTGGAAATGATTTAGAACAAAAGCCGATCACTGACAAATTATTGAAGCAAATGGTAATAGCGAATCGACTAGCGATTTCTGGAATACGTGTGTAAAGGCAAATAATTAATGCAAGTGAACAGTCAGCGAGAAGAAGCAAAAGGTTGTAAGAGAGACCGAATCATTTTGGGCATTATGCTTCGATCAGCAATCTATAGTTACTGCTGGATCAAGAAAGTGTCGAAAAAAGTACCGCAGTTCGGCTTTGGTCGGTTAAAGGCCTACTCGTGACCGCGTTTGTGGCGCCGCACTCATTGCTATCCACAAGCCAAATTTCAATATATTCAAAACATGTGTTTTTGCAAGCATTATGTAAGTTACTGTCGAGTGTTTGTTGTTTCTTTGGATAACGAATATGAAATGTTAAACAGCGTATATGTTTTCCTGAATTAACATAGAAATTAAGTGCTGCCGAAGGCTTTTGAAACTATCTTAGTTGGTAACAAGTACACGAGTACCACGAACGGTTTTGTGGCAGACAAAAGGCTTCTAAAAATAACCCTGGTCTTGGACGATCTGTCACAGCGCATAATTCTCAAGGATTATCGCATCAACATGTTAGACAGTACGAAGAAAAAGTAAACATCCTATCCGCATCGGTCCTGTCGGACCATTTGCAGGCGAAAAGACTTATAGTAAGAATGGGGGTAAAGGATTTGAACTTAAAAAAAATAGGGTCATTAACAATTCAGTACCAGGAAAAACTTAATACAGCTAAGGATCAGCCGGATTCTGACAAAAACTTGACAGTTTCCTCATTCGCCAAGGCCCCCTGGAATGTGATATTGTCCTTTTTCCAAACCTTGAGAAAAAGCTTTAGAACAACCAATGAAATATAACAAAATTAAAAGGTCTACTCCTACGACTGAGTCTGAAAACAAGAAAAACAATTGTATAGGTTTTAAATGATTTGATGGGGATTACTTCGTGGGGGCCAGCTGGAATTTTAGACATAGACAGGTTGGTACAAAAGATAGCTTTTAATACACTTTTAATGCAATAACATAAGCTTCGTAGTTCAGTTAGCACTATTTACCAATAGTTCGACCGAAATCCTAACAAATTGTTAAAATCGTCGACTACTGACTGATTTTGGAATAATGTCCTACACGAAATGTTTCCTATATCCTGGATTTCTTGTACAAATCGACACAAGTTTTTTGACCCAGTTTAGCACAGTACCAGCGACGGTGTATTTATTTGAGGCTATGATCACTTACTAACAAAGTATTGGAAAATCTTTGCTAAAATGGTAGAAATTTGTTTGCCTTGTTACGAATTACTGCGCAGCAACAACATAATAAATATTGCCATACGTGTAAGTAAATACAGCACAAACTGTCAGGCCAAAGTGAGTCGATTGCACATTCGTGATCACCAAAGTAAACAATAAACTGGAGAAAAAAAACAGGAAATTCTAGCTTGAACATAAGAAATATCGTATAGGTTAAGACTTTGTGTTTTGAATATTTGCCCTGTATTGTATAAACATAATTTTTTCGAATATTTTTACATGATTGTTCATTTGCGGTGACGCTTGAAGAGACTCAATTGAATTTTCAAGGACGCGATTTAGTCACTCCTTAGTCGCATCTCATTAGATGACTAATTGTTACGGCATTAAACGCAGGTGAACTCGCATGTTATACGCGTATCGAAATGTTTCAGCAGTTACTATATATTATATTAGTAAGTGTTGAACACAATGGCAGAAAATACAAGTTAAAGGTAACGCAACTTTTATTTAAAATAAATGCCAATAAAACTTACATTCGAGAAAACAAATCGAGGAAATCATGATCATATGTTGAAAACTTCAAAGTTCCTCCCATAAGGAGGCGGCCATGTCTGTTTATGCCCGCGGAGTCGTCTTATTTGAAATATTGGCGTCTGTTCGACCTAGCGGACCTTCAGATAGAAACGCACCTTTGAAGTAACTGATATTAGAAACGTATTTACGAAAAAAAATCATTCTTATGATTAATATTTGCAAACTACCATTTACCTACACAAATTTCAGTTTTCCCGATCGTGTTTTTCTGTCTTCATCGTTGCAGTAGCATTTAGGCATCTCGCAACTGTGTCATTGGGATAATTATCTAGCGTGTACATTGAACGGTCGTTACCTGCGAAACTCTTTTATATGTTTTTTTACCTGAATGAGCGGTGCTGTGCAGCTGTATGAGCATCAATCTAAAAACGCATGTGAGAGTCCCGCATTAAATACTGTCGAAGATGGTAATTGTGATTTTGGCATACCGCAGCAGAATTAGTGCAAAAAAGCAGTATGAGACAGCGGGAGAGAGAGAGAGGGAGAGAGAGAGAGAGAGAGAGAGCGAGAGAAAGGGAGGGAGGAAGGAAGGAAAGAAAGATGCAGATCCGAAGATCTTTCGAGTGAAGCCGATAATATTGAATAGAATCTTCTTGGGCAAGTTACAAGCTGAATTAGTTCGTCGCTAGGGTCAGTGACCTTCATCAGGTGGCTCCCTCTGACGGCTCGCAGCTGAACGACATGCAGCGGATGAACGCCTGACTCAAGCGCCTCCGGTGAGTTTTCTTCATTCAGCGTCAAGTCTTTGTAGATGAAATTGTTTGGCTTGGCCAGGGCTAATCGTGGAAACACTGCACGAACGAGGGATTGTCAAATCAATTCCTTACAGCCAATATCTGATTAAAAAGAGATTTGTGTATCGTGAGTGAATTAGCAGGATTGCTGTTGCGGCGCATGTGTGTGGCACGGGCATATTTTCGGCCGTTAGGTGCATCTAGTTGTAAGCGAATCGTGTATGGCGGCCCTATCGATGGTGTGGCCAAAGTTGTTTTGTGCGATTTTTTAGTGATTTTTTCGTTTGCCAATCGGCCGGAGAGCGGCCGGCAATCTCGTCTGACGTTATAGACGGGCCGACCCAGCATGCAGGAACCGGCCAATAAGGATCCCGACTGGGTCGAGGCCAGTTCGACCAGCGAGGACGAAAGCGATGTAAGTCACCAATCAACTGAACCCATCCACAGGCAATAATACTAGCACAGAGCAGGCTGAGGCACGGTGCTAAGTAATGACTAGCCAGTCAGTCAATCAACTGGTACAAAGCACAATCAGCTACAATGACCATTACGGTGACGAACGACAAATGTTCAACCGGCTGAATTGAGACGAAAGCAAATTACAGAGGGCAAAATAACTTCGGCAAAAGAGTAACTGCCAGCAGTCAACTATTGGGACCATGCACCAGCAGCAGCAGCTATCGTCTTGCCGTGTAAGACCGTCTGTTTCTTATCCCCGCTCACGTCGCGTGAAAATCGTGTGAGTGCCTTTCGGAGTGCGTGTCTCTAACGAAGTTGATGCGTTGTCCGCCTCTTGCAATTCCCTATGGATTAGGCTCCCAGTTCTGGGATAATCAGTTTCGCAAACCCTTGGTCCAGTTGGAAAAAAATACGTGTAATTTAATCGCCGTATGTATTTAGACTGTACTACGGTTTTGTCACTGTATTGGCCTCACTACCGCCTCGCTGTGTCGATGCTATGTGGGGACAATGTGCGATGCTTACATGTGCTCTAATCAAAAGAGTCAGTCATTGCTAAGCTAGAGAAGTGTTACCTAACATTTTCGACTATTGCTCTGCGTCTCAGCGTTTTTCTTCATCGTGGTAGCAACTGTCGTCGTTTTTGCAGTCGTGTGAGTCCCCCGGTCCCCGAGTAGGCCGCTGCCGGCCATTATGCTGCGTAGCCCCCCCGAAGTCGGACCTGAGTCCGATGACGGACCCATATCGTGGTATATGATGTCGGCTTTTGTCAATTGTTTGAAATAACACTTATTTTTCATCACGCCCGCCAATCGTGATGGGTATCGTCAGCGGAAACTGCCTTTTCAATATCACAAGCGTAGATGAGTCGTTGTGCATGTGTCGCGTGTATTTGTGTAGGTTGATCCGTTTGACTCGACCAATCGCATTTTCGCAGCGGGAGGGGTGGCTTTAATTTATGTGCTTGTCTGTAATTGTATATGTGGATGTATATGGTCTCTGTGAGCGAGCGAACGAGCGAGTCTATATGTGCAATGTGTGTTTTTTGCGGTCAGTAATCTATCTGTGCGTCGGATGCCTTTTTGCTACCCAGCTACCAGACCCAATGGATGGTGGTTCGTCATGCTGTCTGTCTGTCATCATGTCTGCCCATCCACCCATGCTGTGGCGCCCTCATGACTGATGAGGAACCTTCGTACATAGCCGTCATATCCTATCCATACGTAACGGAATAGCGATTGCGGTGCTGGTAGCCAATACATTTTTGCTTCCACTACTACTACTACTACTGCTGCTGCTGCTGTTGCTGTTAGTGCTGCCGCTGCTAGTATCAGTATTAACATCAGCAGCAGTAGCAGTAACTAAAGCAAGCAAGCACGCAGGCAGGCAGGCAACAGACAGACAGATAGATAGGTAGATAGATGGAGAGACAGATACACGTCGATGTATACACACACGCGCACGTACGCACGCACGCATGCATGCATGCACAGACAGACAGACAGACAGGCGGACAGACAGACAGATAGACAGACAGACAGAGAGACAGACAGACAGACAGACAGACAGACGGACAGACAGACAGACGGACGGACGGAGTTGCCTGCCTGCTTTTGCTTCTACTGAGCTAGGCGTGCTGTTGGGCTCTTTTTGTTATTCGTTCGTTGGTTAACTGACTGACTGACTGACTGAATGACTGGCTGGCTGCTTGCGTGCGTGATGCCTGCAGCTTCCCTGCCTGACCGGCTGAATGCTGTTGGCCGCAACTGCTACGATTCGTTGGTGGCTGCCTCTTCGCAGCCATCCGGTGCTCGCTGACCGAGTTGTTCCCCTTTGCTACGACTCGTGCTGCTGTGACTCGTACTGACATTGCTTGCTACTGCTGATGCTGCTAGTTGCAGCGGTCGCAGGCTGATGCTGACTGAATGGTGGATTGTGAAACAGCAGTGGATATTGTGGATGTCGGTTGGACACAGCAACAGCAGCGTCAATGACAGCAACAACAGACGTACTTTGCGGCATCGCGGCCGACTGCCGGTCGCCGATTAGCAGCAGCAGCAGTAGCAGTAGCAGTAGCAAGTAAGCGACGGACGGCTAAAACAGGAGAACAAGGAGAACAGAAAGAGATAAAAACACTGATATGGACCGAGGCACCAACAAACGATATTTGAGGACAGACGGCAGCTACGCAAGTTGGTGTCAGCCCCATAAAGAATGACAAATGAAATAATACTTTCAATAAGGCTAACGATTATGGAAAATTTAGCTGTTCAGTCACGCCAACTCGATCAGTAGTAGGCGTGCGTGCCCACGTCACTCTAAGGCGGACATGGTTCCAAGCAAAGCAGGGCGATAGAGATCCATGACAAAGGCTACCCATGTGAGTGGACTACTTTCAGCCGGTGCGTGAAATTTAAAAAAAAAAAAGCAAAAAACACTATTGACAAACCAAGCAGTACAAAAGTGTGACAGGTTCTCGACTTTAGTCGAGGTGATTTAATTCATTTCAGTGCTTAAAAAAAAATCATGCCAATCAAGTGTATATCTGTATTTAAAATTTTGGTCAGCTGTATATTCGATTTTATCGAAATTATGCTTAGTAATTGAAGTTTCGGTAATCGAAACGGGGGTGGCAGCTTTTGTTACGTATCGTACCGACGTGTCCGCCTAAAGACTATGGGTGTGTCTCAACCAATGGTGATACTGCCGCAGCTGCAGCTGCTGCTTCCTCTGAATATTTGCCTAAGACTCAACCGAATCCGACAAAGAAGTTGAGCATGAACGAATAAGAAAGTTGGTCGTCAACTATTTCACGATGCATGGATACTTTAGTGGTAGCTTACTACGGGCCTATAGGTGACTACGTATTACCAACAAATATTGGTGGCTACAAATAACTTACAAGTGCTTGCGGTTGTGTGTATCTGATTGGGTACTATCGAGCAGATATGTTATTTGTCCGTCGTCCTGATACAACAATTTGAGATACTCAGTAATGTGTTATTACGTACTCTCGTTTAGCTGGATAGCAGCATACTGGTTTTTCATCGCTCTCACTCAGTTGTTATTTATGAGAACAAGCTATTCGTATCGAATCAATGTGCCCCTATCAACAGCGAGTCAGCAGTGCAGCTGCAGTAGAAAACTAGCGAACATGCTACCTATCCGATTTTTGTATTTCTTGCGCCTTGTAGAGTGGCACCGACCACGCTCGGGCAAGATTCGTAGTGTTCGGTTATGATTTGAACGATTAAAACTGAGCAGGTATAGTTTTTTAAAGTAGATTCGCTGCTTGTCTTTTAGCAGATGTCACCGTGCAGAATGTCACCCTGACGTGCACAACTATGTCTACTTAGTCTTATGATTATACATAAAACTCTCGCCTTCACCGGTCTAATGCCAATCCGTGCCTCGGCGACAGGAAGGTGCCACATTCGTCTTTTTGTCGAATATTCACAGGTCAAAGTTATAGAGCATTCAAAAGAGTCCTTTGTATTTTTCAAACGTTTTGAAAAGAATGATTTTCGGCCATGTTGCATTTTTTTGAAAAACTAAAATTGAGTACCGAAGAGCCTGTATTATGCTGTGACCAATAATGAAGTCGAGTGCTCTCAGCTGATCCCGACAATGCTGAAGACGTAAGATGATCGTGCTAAATCAGCATCGAATGTATGAATGCAATTTTTAACAAATGACAAAATTCTATAAATGGATTTTATTTTGACCGATCAGTGTCGATCATAGCGAGCAGGCAGCGTTAAGATACACGAATAGCTAACATTGGAGGTTAGCTAAATTACCCCCAGGCATTAAAGCATGTCGCAAGAATTACGTTAAATGATTTTCAAATGGCCCTTGGGAGCTTCAAAGCTTACAGCATTTGGATTACGCCGGAGGACCTGAATTACAAGTGAAGGCAAAGCTGTCAACAATGGGCTCAGGAGAATCAGCGCACTCAAAGAGAAGCTGGATGTGCTTTAGCACACGCCACGGTATGTTACGAGGGCTGGCTGTACAGGTATGGCATCGAGAAAGAAGTACGGTCCTTTAGAGTATCGCTTCGTAGGTCGACTGAAGAACGCAGCAATATCGAAGTCAAAACCGAGCATCATCTTGTCGTCTTTACGACTATAGAAAAATGTTGCTTTTTTGTGAATTATGGTAAATAGTTTTATGCACTTGAGGAATATTACAAGTAAGAGAAACGCTTAATGTTGTTTACAAAATGAACTAGAGCCCTGATAGATTAAGTCCCTACGTAAAAGTATATAGGCTTATGTATCGGTACTTGCTTTACTACAGAAACACTGGAAAATTAGCTAAGACTAGGAAAAACATGGCACACGTGCAATGATTCCGGCGGGGATTATTTCACAGACACGCGAGATTTGCACAGTTTAGACATATGTCAAAGACAAATTATCGATACATTTTTCAACACGGTAATAGTTTAGCATCTGTCATTTGCGTCGTCAAAGACGTTTCCCCGTAATTTGACCATCATCACACTGTCATTGTCGTCGTTGTTCGACAAATATTATTGTCATTGACTCATATTAAAGGATGTGTGCATATATAATATTTAACAAAATATGCAGGCGGGTCTTTTTGCACAAGGTGTTTATGACTTGATCCGATATTGCCTCGCTTTTCCTTCGACCTGTCCTCGTGATCTATCTATCTATCTATTTAATCCGTTTGCATCACATCAGCGTGTGTGATACGTATGTTGGGTTTTCAGTGTCATTAGTTGTAGGCAACCGTTGACTGTGCCGATCCCTAATGGCAGGCCAGTGCAGTTGCAGCTGAACGCCGTTCCTGACTGACGACGACGACGACGATGGCGGCAAGCAACAGCAACCAGTGGCAGAACCAATTACGGTGGTGCGGCCGTTGCTTTAACCACTATTCGCTGTGCTATAGTTACCTGTGCGATCTATCGCAAAGACAATTAACGTGCGCAGTTCTGGAATTACCGATAGACAAAAGGCGGAGACGGCAGGGTATCTGAAGCAAAAAAACACGCTTGCTTTTCGCTTGTTCTTGTTGCTGCATATTTCTTCTGCTCAAGCAAGCATAAGGATAAGGAAAACACGCGTGCGGTTGCGATGGCAATTTGATGACGTTGTTACACACAGCCGATCGATTGACTCGACTGATCCGTCGAGGGATTGACGGAGGGACTGCTATCGGTAACATCGCCATGGCCGACAGAAACAGCCCATAACACCTTAAGTCAAGCAGTAGTCACTGGCTCAATCGTAAGTCGCCGGTTGTTCCGCTATGCTATCGTCGATATGATGACTGTGATGACGACGGAAACGGCGTCTACTTCTTGATTCCCAGAGTTCAAATGGGAAGGAAAAAAAGCAAGTTAAGCCTGTTTGCGGTGCTCTCGTCGACTTCGCTTTTGTTCAAGTCGTAGCAGTCTTTGTTGGCCCCCTTCAATGATTTCTCTTTTACTCGGGGTTCATCTATGCCATTCTACGGCCACGAGCAGCAACGTGAACAGCAACAGCAACAGCAACAACAACGACGATGACAACGACGGTAACGGTGGCGGTGTACAAGAACGGAAAAAAGCCATGGGGAACGGAGTAGCGGAGCGAGTGGCAAACCGACAAACCGCAGCAGTAGCAACGAAAGGAGCAGGTAGACACCACGCGGCGAACGGACGGACGGACAAACAACGCGCAACGCAACGTGCGTCTCTGCTCGTCTTACTGCGGCTACTGCTTTGCGATAGTTGCTGCCTCGAGCGTTGCCAACGACGTTTGGTGTTACCATACCATCATCACCACCGACGACATCGGCAAAAACAGCTGTGGCATCGTCGCAGCGGCCGCTGTCACCATTAGTTAGCACAACAACTGTAATAGCAATAGCAGGTGGTGATGATGATGATTCTTCGAGGAATGCTGTTAAGCTGCTGGCATTTACCGGGTCGGTGATGATGAACCTGCTGTTGTTGATATCTCGCAACCGTTGTCTACATATAGAATTAGCATCTGTCCGTCCTGGTGTCTATCCTTCCATTTGTAGCGTGCGTTTGGTGGCGTTTTATTGTCGTCACCGTTTTGCAGCAGAGAAGGCACGCAGTTGTGCATCATGTTGATACCAATGAGCCGGACGGCACTGTTGCAGAACCACAGATAGATTCAGAGTCAGCTGCACAGGGAACAGATCGGAGTTGTGTTGCAGGTAGCCCTTAGATACAGCTGCAGGAGTAAAAGCGCCGGCGGCTACGCATCTTCAGCGACGGCAGATCATCAGGGTCTATGTGTGCCTGTTCGGACTTGTTGTATGCTTCTCCTACTTTTCATCGTTATCTTTCACCACAGACCGCAGCCATTGCTGATCGCAACCTCATCTTTTTTTGTTGCCTAAGTTAGCTCCATTCACTACTCCTTCATTCCGTCAACGGCTCGAACAACTGCTGCTATGGCAGCAGTGACTACGACGGCAGCACGAAGATAGTGCTGGTGCAGTTGGCGTCTCAATTATTCTCTGACTTCGTCACCTTTGGTGATCCTGTTATATTATTACATTTAATTTGCGTTGGACATAAACAAGCTCTCACACGCACAAATACACACACACACACATCCATCTGTGAGCAAGTCGAAATAATGAATAGGAAGATTGAATCGAGAATGTTGCTGTGGCATGCCGCAACACCGTTCGGATCTGTCTGGGCTATTCAGCTGCTACTGCTGCGAACGTTAGGTCAGTTTTACCCCGACAACGACGGCGACGATGATGAAGACAACAGCAGCAACAACGACCGCAAACGACGATCACCAGCACTAGGCCGGGGGCAGTGGCGACTGTACGCGATCGAGAGATTGAACAAACATAGACAATGTCAGCCGCTTTTTGTCCTCGTCGCTGTAGCCAGCATCAGTTGGATGCGACATGTGGCGGCAAAGCCAAGATACAATAGACATCATTGCAGCGAACTATAATAGTAGACATTATTATTGTTCGTACCAGTGGCACTCGGTCATTGGCAAAACCACTACGACCGATGGAAAATAGAAGAGCATGGACCAATTGGTGTTGCCAGCATTGGCAAGTTTGTAAGATATGATGGGATTGGCGGATGCAGGTGGGGGTGGCGGGGAAGGAACTACGTTCGCGTTGTTGCGTAAAGTGCCATTGGCGGGTCGCATCCGACCGCGACGGCTGGTTTATTGTTATTTCACTCTTATGTTAGTTTGCTTTAGGGTAACCGAATCGAAGAAGGATCATAGCACAGCGAAGAATGTCGTACCGAGCATACTATTTCAGCTGGGTAGCACTGAAATGACCGTAATAATTTGTCACTTCGCAGGGGTTCTGTATGTATCTGAGGATCCGTGCAAGTGTAATACAATGAATTGTATATATCTCTAAATCACCTGCTGATAAGCGTACTCCTGCTGTGTATTCATAGGTACAAAAAAAAGTGTCGTTTGAACATCAGCATCAGAATAATCAGCTGGCACTAGGCGTCATGCCTCTATTTGATCTTTCTAACTCAGCGTACGTCTTCTATCTATTAAATCGATTCGTTCAGTTTTATAGTGTTGTAATAGTCATATGACGTCTTATGACATATTTTTTTGTCAAGTGTGGACTTTCGGCTGAAATTTGGAATCGTCTTATATAGACCCTGGTTGTTTTCGGGTCGACGAAACCAAGTCGTCTTTGAGTCACAATTTCATATGAAAGCAAAATTAAGTAGAAGTTTAGTTTAAATAGAGAACCACGTAATATGTTGAGAGAGCTTTCGCCACAATTTCTAACCATATTGATACATTTATGTTGGATAGGTTAACGTTACAATGGCCGCCTGAGTTCTTTACAGCCCCAATGTTAGAATCGTCATTACTAAATGCTATAAGCACAGCCGCCATGCGGACACCAGCCCACTTACAACGATTAAAATAGCCAAAAAGGCACCTGTAAAAGACAAACATCAACGCATGGTAACGTGAGCATCGACTGGCTTAAAGTTGTTGGGTAATAACACCAAGTTCGCTGTTTACCAAACAGGCAAAAAGTATTGGCTTTTTTCCGTGCAGGAAATAAAAACAGTAACACGCGTGTCACTCCTGAGAAACCATTCTTTTAGTTACTATTGATTCTTATATTATAGGCAAAACCGATATTATGAAGGCTAAACAGATTCTCAAAAATTAATTGTGGGTAGATATACGATTACCCATAAATTTAGAGCGGAAGCGGAAACTATTTTAACAATGTTTATATTGTTGTAATTCCTCAAGAATGTTTTTGTGTCTTGTTGTACACGCTATTTTGCTAGGAAAGGAATTATGTCGAAGTTGAAGTTTTTCTTTGAACTGGACGATTCAATTCTGGATAATTAAGGCAGTCACGTTATGTTATAAATGTAATAGTGTCTATTTTCATTATATGCGTGTTTTGTGTACACTTTAGAACCTAAATTTCCTTCGACCTAGATAAAAATGCTTGTCAATTGAAGACAAATACGCTATTATCAAAGACCAAAGGTTAAAGATCCTTTATTATCCTATGAAGAAGTGACGAACATTAAGGAACAAAACCATTTGATTTGGCTATCTGAATTAATAGATTAGCGACACGTTTTAAAGATGATTTTATTGCAGTCAACTACACCACACATTTGTAATTCTTGTTTTTTTAATAAAAGACGGCCCATATGACAGCTGAGAAAATTTGTGAATTGCGACATAAGAAAAATTGCGCTAGCATTATTTTTTGTATATAACAACATTATATGTTGTGTCTTTATTAAATATTAAGCGTCAGGCTATTAGCGAATTCGGCTGACTTCAAAGCTGAAGTATTTTTAAATTACCTGCCACTTGTTACCCCAGTTTTGTACAGACTTATGGGTACAAGCGCGGATTCAGAAGGAAAAATATTCTTCAGTCTCAAAAAATACGCGCTCAGTGATGAGGTCTCTGCTTTTCGAAAACCATTGTGCTGAAATTCATCGAAGCTTCTTCACCAAGATATTGCGGAAGGAAACATCGAGCGAAAGCACAGTACGAAAATGCGCAAACTCTTCGAAAACGAAGATGTTTTGAGCTAATGAGCAGGTGACTAGATGACAGGGCTTGAAGAACAAAAACGCATTGCTGACAATCGAAGAGGCTTTTCACGAGAGCAGAACATTGAATTCACGGCCCTTGTCGACCAAATTGGATAATCATAACCAAAATATCGAAAGTGCGGAAATTGAGTAACAAACGGTCCTTCGTGAATTGACTACGGCAATGTTGTAAATGCATGTATTCCACGTGCAATTTGTGTAACTTTGATCAACAGAAAATCCGCTTGGAGCATGTGGTCGCCGTAGACGAGACATGGTCCAATCTCCATCGCCAACCGCACAGGGACAAAGTGAGGGAATGGTGAAGGTCTAAAGAGGAATCGAGTTTGTCGAATAGGTTCCAACGTAAGATGATGGTAATTCTTACAATGGACACAAGAAGCATCTGCTACTAGTAGATACTCACCGAAAATAAAAACAGAATGCAGCTCGAGCTCTTCAAGAAGCCCATGAGCCGCTGGCACAGCAATCGAAACCACGCGGACTGGTTACTTGATGATAACGCCAGATTTCATTGCCATGCTTTCATTACCTCCTGGATTAAGCGAAAATGTGTTCGTTTAATCTACTTATTTCCTGATTTAAGTCCGTGTAGTTACGGGACTTAGGACCAGTGGGCGGGTATGTCCCACTAAATTTGCGTTTCGACAAGCTATAGATAGAGAAGTTACGAAAAAAGAAGTGTATAAAATATAGAGGAGAATGTCCCTGACACAAACAGTTCAAAAGTGCATCAAATTTATTTGTAATAGTCTGATACTAAACCTCGATTATTTGTTGTTTTACAGGGCGATGCAAGCTCCGCAGACACCATCCCAATCAGCATACCGTCAAAGTTTTTACTATCGGAGAGCTCGTCGTCTCTCAATGAGGATATGCCTACTGTTGGAGTGGGAGTTGACCCTGAGACGCAAGCTCGACTCGAGGCCATCCTCAATGCCACTGGACTTTCCAAATTTTCCCTCGAAGCCAAACAGGTTGCCTATTTTAATAGCGTTTTCCAATATAGCCAGGAATTTAATGACCAATTAATCATTCGATACTTCGAGTGAGAATGTAAGCCTCATCGATAAACGATTGGAAATATTACCAGCAGCCTCGCTGCAAAGAATGATTTGAAAAGGGCAGTTTGTCTAAATTAGCAAGTTATTAGATGTGGTTCTTCTCTTGCTGATCGTACGTACTTCGGCATTAGCCTGCTGTACAAAACGTCTTCAAAACAGTTTAACGATTGGAGTTTTTTTTTCGATAAACGCGGTAACAATTTGTTTCGGCCATTGAAAACCTACGTTCGTTTTCTCCCTCTTCGTTCTAATGGTGCGCATCATGTAGAATAAACAACAATGCCAGGTTGACATGAAGCGATGTGCACGTTGCAAAATCAGATTGACATTGTTATTTATGAATGAATAACACATTGCACGTTTTTAAGATCAATCATATGGACTGTCAAGGGTATAACCGACATACATCATCAGCATTGTAATCTGAATCATCATTATCACCAATCCTAGTAAAAATAATGTTTTCGTAAAGTAATTCAAGCCATTCTATGTTTAGTTTAGTGGACACAAACGTCGCGAACCGATTGTTCTACCCAACTTATGGAATACTCGTTTGTGACAATTCGAACGTTTTAGTTTTTGCGTTATGCAGAAAATACGTTGACTTTTTCTCGAAAGAAATGTTTATTCGCTTAAGGTTCTATGATAATACGGTGTTATGGTTCATTGATGGTGTCTTTATCTATACCTATATCCCGCTTCGAATTAAATGCGCTTTTCTCCGTATTTTCGTTCTTACTGAATGTTATCTGGGCTCGCACGGTCGACTTAACAGCAATTTTCATTTCAGCAATTTTCAAGAAATTTGGTAGCACACATATTTTAGTAGAAAGCTCGTGCGTGCGTTCTGAGAAATTTGTACCTAAAAGGACGACTGCCAATATCTTTTACTAGAAGAGTATGGATAGCCTTTGTTTAGTTTACGCTTGTAAAAAAAATGTAGTCCATATTGAACCAATCAGTAAGTTATTCCGTTTTCCAGCTTTTTTAAACTGCCTAAGTTCTGCTAACTTTGGCAAGAGACTAACTTACCCTACTTAAATTATTTTTTTGGGTTTTCATGACTTTGTTCCACCGTTCGGACACCAGGCGGCTTCTTCGACGAACAAAGGAGGTATCAATGGGGGCGATCAATTCACAGTACCATTTTCGGACTTCTGCCTCTTCCTTTGAATTGCTTGTCCTAGAAGCCATAACTGCAAAAATCTGAACAGAAGGATTCGGTGGATCAAAATCTGCGGTATAAGCCGGGCGCAAAGGAACTCCCGTCTAAGGTCTGTCAGAGTTTTCCGGGTCGCGAAAGTTCTGTGGCGCCAAATTTTATCAAAGTGATACTTTGTCCAGCCCTTTGCCTCTCCATAGATTTTATGTTGTCAATTTTTACTCAGAGTGGTGAGTTGGATCATTATGTGCATTCATCATGTCAGTGCTTTTCAAAAGTTTAATTGATTGCTCTAATCCAACAAAATGTTCTAAAGAGTTTATGCCTGAGGTCTAGTCTGTGATAAGCCGAAGATCAGTGGTCAAGTATCTCAGTTTCGTCGTAGATATTGATTGTCATGTGTTGAAATTACTTCCTTTTCCATACAAAAAAATCAGATGCACGCGTTTGAGCGCTTGGCAATGGTTCTCCCCACTTAGGTTCTGAGAACTTTTGAGGTGATCGCGTCGAAGGTCCACGTAATAGAGCTTGCACTTTAATGTGATCCGCTTTTTGAAACCGTTCGGGCCGTGATTTCTGATCTAAATTGAGATGTCCAAACAAGTGAAACCAGTTCCTTTAAACACTGCAGGAAACTGACCATTTGTGCTCAATCTAAAGTACAATCATCGCTGATTCAGCTGCGTGTTTTTCAATGAAGAAGCAATGCCGGATGTAGATTTTAGATCCCACGCTTTGGCTCGACGGGAAACTGTTATCAACAGATCAATGAGGGTGTTGATGAGGATACCGAAACTTGTACCCCACAGGCTAAATTCCCTCGAGATATTAACAACCTGGTGGTACTCGCATTGCAGTATAGGTAAACTGCTAGTGAGTGATTAAACTAGCATTACCCACACGAAAGTACTGTACCTTAGAAGATGTCGTACAAATAAGCGAAGTGAAAAGACTAACTTAAGTCTTGGCATAACTAAGTTCTTAACTATGTTTTCTGCCCTTTTAGTTTAACGACCCAGAAGTTTTGCGTCGATTGACTACCTCAGTGAGCTCTGCACTTGATGAGGCTGCGGCTGCTTTAACGCAAATGCGGGCTGAACGTGCAGGAGCCGCTGCTGCTCAACAGTTGCAGCAACAACAGCAGCAGCAACAGCAACAAACCACCCCTGGAGGCTGCACGGGGCTCCAGCAAGCGGCTACTGGGGTGCCGCCAGGCAGCAGTGCGCCTGTGAGCGCACTGGCAATACCCAGCGCCGCCGTACCTACTGCCCTCCAGGTGCAACAGCCAGGCGCAGCACAGCAAGCAGTTGGTCCCGGTACGTAACGAAGCACACACTATACTGAGGTGATTTGCTATCTCCATTTCGATATAATTATATGTTCGAAATGTTGATAAGTACTGGGGCATACTTTATTAGCAAAAAAAAAAACTATATTCTCGTAATGTGATTAAGAGATAGCCATTCTTTAATGCCTCCGGTGCCCCAAACGGACGCCTGCCGATGCTATTCACCTGATATTATTCATGATACATCATGAATGATGATATTCAACTGATAACAGCAAAATTCTCAAGAAATTAGCGGTTGTTTTCGGGGTAGGACTGGCTACAGAATCGTTATGCTTTCTTTTTTCTTTTTTGGATTTCTCGGTGCAGCATATTGATAGCATAACATTTAAGTCTGCCAGATTTTTTTATAGAAAGCACATTTGAACGACATGTCAGCGGTCTACGTACACCAATGTCTCCTTCCTTATATTAACTAAAAAGTTTTTCAGGCTTTAAGCCCACAGTTAACGCCACGGTCAGCTGTGGCTGTCCGGAACATCTCTGCTGGTACATGCAGTGTTTCACGTCATTTCATGTAATTTCGTCACACGTTATTTTGAACACTCATATTGATTTGTTTTTTTGAGGGTTATCCGCTGGAATGTATAATACAAATTGTACGTAAATACTAAATAGTACTGATAAACTAATTCATTCAGGGGGTAGTTCATCGTCGTCAGCGTCGTCACCGTGCAGGTCGCTTGTCGATGCTTGCATGGATGGCGATATTACGACAGTGAAGCGCTTGTTGGACACGGGTCGCGACGTAAATCAGATCACGGAAGAGGGCGAATCGTTGTTAAGTTTAGCATGCGCGTCGGGCTATTTCGAGTTGGCTCAGCTGCTGCTTGTGATGCGAGCTAACCTTGAAGAGCGAGGCTTAAAAGATACCACCCCGTTAATGGAAGCGGCTAATGCCGGATATTGTGACATCGTGAAACTTCTTCTGACCCATGGTGCAGACGTAAACGCGAAGACACAACAAGGTAACTTCTAAGCTTCTAGGCTGTGTCAATGACTGATGATAACAGAGATATACGATAAATTTCATGGACCTATCAACGTCTACTAACGGTTCTGCTACGTTAGATTCATTTAACGTCAAACGCTTTGTTGTTCGGTGTTGCGGTCTATCACCAGGCAACACGGCCTTGATGTTTGCCTGCTCAAACGGTTTCGAAGACGTGGTGCAGGTGCTGTTAGAAGCCGGTGGAAATGCTGAAGCGCACAACGAAAATGGGCATACGCCACTGATGGAGGCGGCGTCTGCTGGACAGGTGGCAGTGGCGCGTTTACTTGTAAAACATGGCGCACAGATCAATTCGCATTCAAACGAGTTCAAGGAGAGCGCACTGACCCTCGCCTGCTATAAAGGCCACCTTGAAATGGTTCGTTTTCTTCTCGAGGCCGGCGCAGATCGCGAGCACAAAACGGACGAGATGCACACAGCGTTGATGGAGGCGTCAATGGACGGGCATGTTGAAGTGGCACGGTTGTTGCTTGATTCTGGAGCTCAGGTGAATATGCCACAGGACTCGTTCGAGAGCCCTCTAACCCTAGCTGCTTGCGGAGGTCACGTTGAGCTGGCACAACTTCTTCTTGATCGAGGCGCTAACATCGAAGAGGTTAATGATGAAGGGTACGTTTATCTACGATTTAATTCTGCAAAATGTTTAATAGCCATTTTTCTCTTATGTCACACTCCTGTTGTTTACGTACAGCAGTTTAGATAAACCTACTGGGTTTCAAATCTTCATTCTTTTTTTGTTCGTAATTATCGTAGCGATCAAAGAAAACAAAAGCCATGTACGTTAAGATCGTAAAATAATTTTCGTAAATTTATTAATTTCACTTAGCTATGCTATTTTCTGTCATGTCGCCTCAGATACACCCCCCTCATGGAGGCTGCAAGAGAAGGTCACGAGGAAATGGTGGCGTTGCTACTGTCGCAAGGAGCTGATATTAACGCTCAGACGGAGGAGACGCAAGAGACGGCGTTAACGTTAGCGTGCTGTGGCGGTTTCCTCGAAGTGACCGACTTCCTCATCAAAGCCGGCGCCGACCTCGAGTTAGGAGCGTCGACCCCACTCATGGAAGCAGCGCAGGAGGGTCATGTGGACTTAGTGCGGTACCTGATCGGCGCAGGCGCGAGTGTAAACGCATGTACAGCGACAGGCGATACGGCTCTAACCTACGCATGTGAAAACGGTCATACGGACGTGGCCGACCTGTTGCTTCAGGCAGGCGCAGCGATGGAGCACGAGAGCGAAGGTGGGCGAACACCTCTAATGAAGGCTGCTCGCGCGGGTAATGTATGCACCGTCAAGTTTCTTTTGGCGAAAGGCGCAGAACCAAACAAGCGGACGACATCTAACGATCACACGCCATTGTCTTTAGCCTGTGCGGGTGGACACCTGCAAGTGGCGCGCATGTTACTTGACGCCGGTGCGAATCCTGCACATCGACTAAAAGATAATTCCTCGATGCTAATCGAAGCAGCCAAAGGCGGGCACCTCGACACAGTCCGATTGTTACTCGACTACAGGAAAGATTGTCCGTTGGGTTTAGGCTCAACAACGCCAACCGGCACCGTCACCACGCCGCCGACCACAACGGCAATTGCCGGCACAGTTTCGGGCGTTCCCGCTATTGCCCCTGCTGTACCTGCGACATGCCCCGCCGCTGCAGCGATCGCAGCTGCAGCGGCAGCTGCCACAGTCCCGGTAGTTCCATCTGGGGCATCAGCAAAGACGTGCATCCATAAAATGCAGGACATGAAAGACGCAACCGCCGTGCCTGCACCGCTGCCGCCTAATGCGCGTATTCCACCACCATCTGATAACTCGTCGACAGCTGCTGTTGCTGCAGCACCAGCAGCAGTCGCTTCAATATCGGCCACTCCCGCAGTTGCACTTGCCTCTGCACTCTCCGGTGGTGCGCAGGGCAAAGACGCAGCCGAGCTGCGCGCTGATTTTGAACAGTGTCTGAGTTCGATCATGAAAGGCGGACCGATGTTACCATTAGCAGCGGCAGCAACAGTAGCAGCTCAAGGTGGTGTTTCGACGAGCGAAGAAAAGCTGCGCAATAAGCAGCAGATTCTTGAGGAGCTGCAGAAAGTCGAGCGCGAATTACAAGAGAAAGTTCCTAAAAGCTGCAAAACGGATGCGCGAGGATTTCTGACGTCTCTTGTCAATAACGCCGTAAATGAAACTGCTCATTTTGTCGCCCAGCAACAGCCCGATGCGACTTCGGCTATAGCGGCTGTAGCCACCGTCACTGCAGCTACACCAACGGGCGCTTCTTCAACGCCTACAGTTCCATTGCCGGCTGTAAGTGCTGTCATCCCTTCCGTCGACGGATCTGCTCAAGTTGCAGTAACACAGGCCAACGGCGGTCTAATGGTTGCTGCTCCTCCGCGAACACTCCAGCAGGAACAACAACAGGAACAACACGTTGAGCAGGAACAAGATGCAACAGCAATATGCACGGGTGTTACAGGAACTGCTGGCCAGATTATTCCTGTCAGCCCAGCGACGCCTCCTGTAGCTGGCACTGTTCCGCCGCCTAACGTAATAGCCGGAACGGGTGACGTTCTTGCGCCGGGCTCGCTGTTGCTCGACGTCGAGTGGCAGACGGATTCAAATCACGACACTGCGCTCACACTGGCGTGTTCCGGCGGCCACAAAGAGCTGGTCGGTTTGCTGATCGCTAAGGGCGCTAACATTGAGCACCGTGACAAAAAAGGCTTCACCCCGCTCATGCTCGCCGCAACCGCAGGACATGCTGGTAGGTTTTAAAACGACCTCTCGGAGTTCCTCAGTTCTAGCCAATGTTACCTAGAGCGCCTATATTTTTTACAATAGGCTTCTGTGCTGTTGGATTCCGCTTGTCTATTGTCAAAATCAAAAGAAACCGCTCGAAATAAAAGCTCGTAGAAGAGTTCCTAACAAGTGTCGTTCTGTTTGTTAATATTTGTGCACATAATAGCGGTGGTGGATGCTTTGTTAGAGCATGGCGCACAGATGGAAGCTCAGTCGGAGCGGACCAAGGACACGGCATTGTCTCTCGCCTGCTCGGGCGGCCGACTCGACGTCGTCGAAATGCTGCTCGGGCACGGTGCAAATCGTGAGCACCGCAATGTGTCCGACTACACGCCTCTGTCGTTGGCAGCCAGTGGCGGATACGTCAACATTATTCGACTCTTGCTCCATCACGGAGCTGAAATCAATTCTCGTACAGGCTCCAAGCTCGGAATCTCGCCATTGATGCTTGCTGCTATGAATGGACATGCAGCTGCCGTTCGGTTGTTGTTAGACCAAGGCTCAGACATTAACGCACAGATTGAGACGAACCGAAATACAGCCCTTACTCTCGCTTGCTTTCAGGGACGACACGAGGTCGTGTCGCTTCTGCTCGATCGTAAAGCTAATGTTGAACACCGAGCCAAGGTAATTTCTTGATTTTTTAGTCGCGCATAATAATGTCATGCAATCGAAAAGCAACTAATTCCCTATTTTAGAGCGACACACAAAATTGAGAATCAACAATCTCTCATCTTGTAATTCGGGATCCTATGCTCATATTGTGCAAACCTCGTGATTTAGTGAGAATGATTTAGGTGAGAAATCAATGCTTTACTTACTATTTTAGGCTGCAAATAGCTAATCAAAATACATGAAAAGTATCAGGTAACCAAAGTTTATTGCATTCTCTCGTCGTCGTTCTTTGTTTCATCCTGTGCCGTCTTACGTGACCGAACTGCACCCCGGACGACACGAAATGCTGGGTTATAGATATTGCAGAGACATAGAATTTGCTAGTGCTCAGTACTGATCTTCGCAAAGCTCTACTCAATTAGCGTTAACTGAAATTCTGGTCATCTCCGTGTCTAGAGCTTCGCGTAATAACTACAGGCGCTAAGAGTAAAGAAATGGAAACATTTTGATTCTGAAGAAAAATTAGCTTTGCCATTGGTGACCTAGCAGCGTTACTATGAAGGCACACGCCAAGCTCGAACAATCTTTCATTTTTTCTTGATATTATTAAAGTCACTTGATACGCTCACACTTAGCTTGCATTTGCTATGTATTGCAGACGGGATTGACGCCCTTAATGGAAGCTGCATCAGGAGGCTATGTGGATGTAGGCCGAGTACTGCTCGACAAAAGTGCAGAAGTAAATGCATCTCCCGTGCCGTCGTCACGTGATACGGCGCTTACGATCGCCGCCGATAAAGGTCACCTGCGATTTGTAGAATTGCTCCTAGAACGGAACGCTGCGGTTGATGTTCGCAACAAAAAAGGCAACTCACCCCTTTGGCTGGCCTGTAACGGTGGCCATTTAGATGTGGTGCAGCGGCTCGTGAGTGCGAATGCGGATATTGATTCGCAAGATAACCGCAAGGTGTCGTGTTTGATGGCGGCGTTTCGTAAGGGTCACCATAAAGTAGTCAAGTGGATGGTTCGCAACGTGATGCAGTTCCCCTCAGATCAGGAAATGACGCGGTACATACAGACGATTAGTGACAAGGAGTTACTTAAAAAGTGTGAGGCATGCATGCATACCATTCACCAAGCAAAAGAAAGGCAGGCAGCTGAAGCTAATCGGAATGCCAGTTCGTTGCTTAAAGCCCTTGAAGAGGAGAAGACACGTGAAGAACAGAAGAAGGCAGCTGCGGCTCGCCGACGGGAGAAAAAACGGCTGAAGAAGAAGGCGAAGCAGGTCAGCGCCTCAGGAAAGGATGACGAGGAAGATGATGAGGCCGACGCCGAAGTGACCGAGGTATCTGGTTACCAACCGGCTGAGACACGACCTCCGACCATCGATGAGATCTCGAGAGCCGGTGGAAGCCCCACATGTATCGTCCCCCAGAGGAAAAGCAACCACGGAAGTCCACCACCTGCTCCTAAAAGTGTCTCACCTCCGCCCGTCATACGAGTGGACAAGACCCCACCACCACCTGTTTTATCTCCCCCACCTCAATCGGCAGCTTCTAATATCAACAGCAGTAATAACAAAAACAATAACAACAATAGCAACAATAACAATAATAGCAACTCTACAAATATGAGCACAAATTCCGTATCGTCGTCAAACGCAGCTGCGTCCACAGCTCCTTTGTTTAACCGCAAAGACCGTAAGAAAAACTCCGACCGAAATCGTGTTGAGCCATTGAGTACTCAGCCATCTAACAATTCGCTAGCTTTGGGAGCCGTACTAATGCTGAAAAACCTTCGAATAAACGATTCCAACCAACAACAGCAGCAACAAGGTGCCAGCGAACGGAATCCCAGTAATTCGAATCAAACGTCCTATTTGAGTCCCTCTGGTAAAGACGAACATCCATTTGAAGCAGTAACGACCAGTCGTCAAAGGAATAAAATATCACCGAAGCCTCAGCAAGCATCAGGCGGATCCAGTGGGGCTCGAGAGGAGGGCTGGAAAGAAGTTACCCGAAGAACTAAAAAAGTCACTGTGCCTGCAGCCGCAATTTCGCGGGTCATTGGTCGTGCTGGATGCAACATTAACGCGATCAGAGAAATATCTGGTGCACACATCGAAGTGGAGAAACAAAACCCGAAGGCGAACCAAGGAGAGCGTACGGTTCTCATCCGTGGCTCAGCTGAAGCTACCAAGCACGCGCAGAACCTTATCGCCGGCTTAGCAGACGACGCTGACGCCGAGCTTGTGGATGTTGTGCAACGCTGTGGATTAGCCGGAGTAGCTGCACGTGCGAAAGGGCTAAAAAATTCCGGTGGCGGCAGCAAGTCGGCGGCACAGCTAACGCCGTTCGTTGTTCTCGCGGGGCCTGCTAAGGCCAAGGTGGTTGTTCAGCCTGCGCCGCCACCAGCGCAGCCTGCTTGGAGCACACCTGGCAATAATCCAGTGCTAAACCACAAGCCACAATCACCGCAGCTTATTTCCGCAACATCGTCATCCTCGTCACCATTGGCAACGTCGTCTGCCCCACAGCCCGAAGCCAGGGCATCGAATAACAAGAAGACAAGCCCGCTGCTTGATCAAGGCGGCAGTGCCAAGTCTTCCCACAGCTCTTCTCATCATCACGCCAATAACAGTATCACCACTGGAAGTACACCTTCGAGCCAGACTTACCATCACCAACAACATCACCATCATCAATCGCCAGCGAAGTCTACAAAGGAGCCATCACCAGCGCCCGTCATCGCCGCATCGGAACTGGCCCGTTCAGCCAGCGCCGGGCAATCGACCTCCCCCACTCCGCAGCCGCAGCCTTTCTTGTTGTCCTCCCGCAGCTGGCATCAACAACAACAGCAGTATCAACAGCAGCAGCAGCAGCACACACGTCAGCAGCACCAGCAGCAGCAACAGCAAGCGTGGGGTAATGGTGGAGACGTTGGTGCTTCGACCTCATTGTCCACGTCGAAAGGTTGGTCTTCAGCTGCCCATAACAACTGCACAGGGATAGGTGGTGGGGGCGATCGGCTATTCTTCGGCGCCGTTGGATCCACTACGTCAAAGTCCGGCAGCGGTGTTGGCCCAACACCTGTCTCCGCCACGGCATCTGTTACCTCGCCTCCTCAGTCCCCTAGGGCTGCCTCATCAGCGTCATCATCGCTGTCACCGCGAAGTGAAGAGGAATCCTCGCCAACTGGAAAATCACATAACACCAAGAACAACAACAGCAACAATCATAATAACAATAGCAGTAAACAACATCATGCCGCCGCTAACGCAACAATAGGCCAACCGCATCATCATCAGCAACAGCAGCAGCAGCGTGCTTCGGCGGGCAACACGACTGCCGCAGCAACAATGAGCAGTCATAGTAGCAGTGTTAACAGCCATAGTAACAGCAGCAGTACTCATCACAGCGCGACGGGAGGAGCACCATCTGTGGGCGGTTCACTGTCAGCTCACGGCTCTCCGACGAACTTCCGGCTACTCATATCATCGGCAAGTGGAAGTCAACAGCACGCAGTCGTAGCACAAGGGGCCACAAGCAGCAGTACTGGAAGCGGCGGCGGTGCGGGCGCTCCTTCAACACCTGCCACACCTTCATTTGGACCATCATCTGCTAGCAGTTCTCATTCCTCGCCGACACCGACAGGCGGCTCTGTCGTCACTATCGGTGGTGTTCCACCGGCAACCAATAATGTCACTTCATCTACTACGATCGATTATCATGTGGCAAACAACAATAATAATAACAATAACAATAATAATACTAATAATAGCAACGCCACCGCCCCCTGTTCAACTCCATCAAGTGCTACCGTTAGCGCGAGTGTCGTGAGTCCCGCAAGCGTCGTCGCTTCTTCGGCAGTCGTCTCTCCGTTTGTCAATGGAAGTTCAGCCACAACGACTCCGGTTGTTTGCGGTTCGGTGTCGTCGCAAAATGAGAACAACGGTCCGACTCGACAGCACGTGAGTACGTTGCTCGACCTACCTGAAACACCTGCCCCGTTAATAGCTGCCCAGGTTCCAAATCCTGTGGGTACCGGTAGTGGTTACAAGTACAGCCAGCATCATCATCACCAGCAGCAGCAGCAGCAGCAGCAACAACAGCTGCACCAGGCCCAAGCAGCTGTAGCAGCCGCAGCCACTCACCATACAGTGGACCCGATGTCCATGTATGCCAGCAACAATAACAATGCCCCCAGCCACAACAGCTTAAACCCTGCTGCCGCCGCCGCGCACCTTCACCAACAGGGGGTTGGCCATTTAGGCTCACTTAACAGCCATATACAGCCACCCGTATATCACGGTGCCATGCACCTTGGCCACAATCATCATCAAGACATGAACGGTCATGCGCATCAGACTCACCATCAACTTGCGCCAGGTCATGGCGCCATGCCCAGCCATCTTCAGCAGACAACTGGTAGCAGTTTGCAGCCACAACAGCAACAACAACAACAGCAGCAACAGCAACAGCAACAACAACAACAGCAGCAACAGCAACAGCAGCAACAACAACAACAACAACAACAACAACAACAGCAGCAGCAGCAGCAGGCTCAACACCACCATCATCACCACCATCATCATATAGACCGGCAAATGCCACCGTTGCCAATCGGTAAAAGTATTTCTATATCTAGTTCTGCTTGAACTTTGCTGTAAATACCTTGTGTATATTTATATAAACATTTAAAAGTACACTTATTGGAAAGAGTAAACTAATAAAACCGCCCAAAAACTTCATGATATCTTGGCCTCCTAAGTTTTCTCAGACAATACTGATCCACCGCCTTTTCACGAGCTTGATCTCTGAATTTCTGATATCTTCTGTTTTTAGGCACTGAACGTGCCCAGCAGCGCAAAACCTCAGCGATGCCTGTCGTATCGAACCCCAACCATCAAATGTGGAACTCCTTAACACAGACAGGAAACATGCCTCCTCTGGCCGACACCGAGCGTCACTGGAACCATCATTATCCTACGGGAACAATGGATCCCTTGGCATCTATAGCGGGTGGACCCGATGCGTTCTTGCTACGTTCGCTTAGCTCCCACGGAAATCATGGTGGTGGTGGAGGTATGCCGGGCCATCATTCAGGACATCCCTCACTGCCTGAGTCGTTGCTAGGCACCCTTGCGACCACCCCGGGTGTTCCGTTGAGTGATCTTTATGCCGCTAGCCAGCAGAGCGTCGCTGGCGCACATCAGAGTCATCAAAGTGGAACAGGTCATCAAATGGCGGCACATCCTCATCAGAACAGTGGAATGGGAGCGGCATCCGCTAATGTTCTACATGCCGGAAGTCAGCACTCAGCCGTAATGAACGGGGGCGGCGCCGGGCTAAGTGCTATGAACGGAGGCGGAGGACTGAATGGACTCATGGGAGCCGGTGGCCAGGGTGGAACTGGAAGCTACATGTTTAGTGGACAAGCTGCTGACCCTTGGGGACATCAACATCACCCACAGCACCATCAGGTTAGCCATCAAATGGGACCCCAGCATCACGTCGGCCATACTGTACACCAGACAGGGCCCCATCCACCACCCAGCCATGGCTCGCATGGTCACAAAGGCATGCACAGCTTTCCCCAAAAGGTAATAACTGTAATAGCTCTAGTGATGTAGGTATTATTCAAAATGACGGCATACATTCATGTCAGCGTGATGATAAAAGGAAGCGATTATTCAGTGTTTCGCGTGTTCAGGTGGCTGATTCTTGTAGTTGTTTGGATTATTTTTTAGTTCTATTGTCTTCATTTTTCTTGATATAATTCGTAAATCAGTTATACCTATATATATGAATGCGGCAGTTATATTCAGGTATACACCTTTATCGGTTTTCTCTGTGGTTTTACTTATAAATGATTCGAACCTGTCTATCGTTTGTATCTAGGGGATGCCGTGGAGCTGGCTAGCGAATAACCCGCCACAATAAACAGGAGAAGTGAAGCTTGTGGCCAATGCTTGCTGCCAGCTGATGCTGACTTACCCTCAACATTTTAAACAAGATACGTGCTTATTTTTTTTTGGCGCTATCTGCACGGTTCACCATGCGTATACTAACATCATCGTGCCGTTGACGGAGTACTTCAGATGAATGATGATACAGACGTAACGTTGATAGGACATCTCTGAACGAAATCGGAGGCATGAGAAACCAACGAGTGGCTAACAGCACGTATGCTTCCTCCTCCGCAGAAGACAGGCGCGCTTGCTGACTTTTATGGCGATTTCTATAGATTTCTTCTGTAACTGACACACACTCCGCAATCGGTGATTTCATAACGTCGCCTTCAAGGCATCACCATGGTGATGAATACACCTAGCTGCTTATTTATCCAGTGAACCAAATCAACACATAATAGGCAACACACACACACACACACGTTTATACCAACATTAATAAACGTAATCAGTAACAATCCTTAATAGAGAAAAGCAGAGGAACAGCGGGTCAACAAAATCTACCTAATTACGTAACGCATCGATCATTCTAGTGATTATAAAAAGGATAACGTTAGAGCGAATTGATTGATGCATTAATTAGAAGAATGACGATAATATGATAATAGTAGCTAAGAGTAAAAACAAAAAACCTCGGTAAAGTCGTGTTAACGAGTACGCAGAAAGATGGTTGGTAACAGGTACGGCTGCGACACCATAAGTCGTTCATTGAAAAGATCGAACGAAAAAGCGCAAAGAAAAGGCATAAAGGTTACGATTATAATTAACAATTTGTTTGTGAACTATCTACGTACAACTACATCTAACTAGAAACGATAAAGAAAACAAAAACAGAACGCAAAGGTGCGCTAAGTTTGTGAATGGGCAGTTGCAGCTTGCTGAGTTGATGACGTCTGCAAAACAGTGATGGTAATAAAAACGGTAACCGATGTACAACGACGCTCGACACAAGGAATACACAATTGGCTGAAACAGGCAACGGCAAAATGTTCTTGTGGGGGTAATCAGTGAAAATTTTTGGCCCCATAGTTCGATAGGCGACATGGCGTATGATATTGTTGATGCTGCTGCTGGTGATGTTAGTTCAACTGCAAACCGAAGGCAAAAAAAAAACTGACGAAATACATGATAATTAAGATGAGAATGATACTGATGGTAATATTGCGGGTGATGCTGCTAATAGCGATGATGCATGAAGATGATAATTCTAGAATAACAAAACAACAAAAAAAAAAAACAAACAATTAACTCCTTTTCTCCTTGCAATTACAAATGAGGCTATAAGGAAAAATGACTATGTTAACGGTAATTAATGATAAAACGATATTGATGATGATTATGATAATAATGTAACAAAAGAAAAACGAATACAAGCAAGGTGAAGAGCAAGCAAGTAGGCTGCGGCATGCTTGAAGAGCGAGATTGTACACGAATATACACTGAGAGTTGGGCGACGAGTGTAGCCGCTAATATTGCGGAACTAAAAAAAAAACCCTATTATCATTCAGAAGCAGAAAAAATAAGGCACCGAAGTGAGCGAAACATACGGTAGAAAAAGCGGCACAAGAAAAATAAAAACAAAAACAAAGCGTGTTAATTAACAAAACGATAATGGGTGATGATCTAGCTTGAATGATGTTGACTGCCTTAGCTGATACAACGAGGATCAGTTGACGACGAACCTCGCATGCAAGCAGGAGCAAGTAGCACAGGACAGGAGGAGATTTGAGGGCGGGTGATAAAAATGCGCGACTCATGAAAACCTCACTGGGTGAGTACGATGGTGAGTACGATGGTGATGACAATGACGACGACGATGATGATAAGTTGGTTTGATGTACTTCCAGCTTTTACGATAGTTGTATTCACGGGCCGAGGGCAAGGCTACTGGGCAAGCCTAGATTCGTGCCAGTGAACATCTTTACACGTTCAAAAGTGTAATATACTAAAAATAAAACTAAGAATAAAGGGCGTTATGTTAATTGCAATTATGCATGAAGATTTTCGTATTTGGTGGGCAATATGGTGGATAGTTGTATCCAGTCTGAGTTGGGCCGAGTTTCGGCGGCAGCGGGAAATCCGTAGTTTACAAGGCATTTCAGCGATTGTTTTTTTCTTTTTGTTTGGCGTGGGTTTTATCCAGTAGTACTTAATGGAATTACTCGACGTGAAATTCGAACCACGTATTTAAGCAAAATTATTGGTATTATTTAGCTTACCAGAAAACATGTATAACCACTCGCATTCTTACAGGTGTTTTTTTTTGCAAAACTTGAAGGCAAATCCATGAGCAACTGGTGGCACGTCTGTTAGTGCGTCAAAATTATTTTTACGCTTACCGTTGTGTAAATTTAAGTTAAAAGTTTTGATCTTCTGTATCAACAATCGATCTAAGGTTTACTTCGTTTTATAAATCCTTCAATTCCATGAAAAAAAACCTTTCTGGGCCTATTCGTTCAGCTTAGTGTAAATTATATAGCCTACGTTCAATTATACTTGAAAGAAATGTGTTCATTATAGAACTCCCGCAACGAATACATTCAACAGCCCTTCCTGAACCCCTATCAATGCATATGAAAATAAATATCTAACAGCCGCATGACTTCTTAGAAGAAATCTAAAGTGGATCTTCGGAAACGATCTCAAGCTAACGACAGACCAACAAGACATACTTGTAGCTAAGTCGGATTTATTTCAGCTATACTGGGTAAATGTGAGAAGTCTCGGTACAACCCATTTACAACATAGTACTCCTATAGGGTATGAGGTTAGCAAGAGTTGCCTTTTCTTTTTGAGCCACATATATTCAAGGAATGAAGTAAAATGAGATACAGGTCATGATGGCGTGAAGCTGCTCATTAGAGTAGTTGATCTCTTGGTCCTTGAAAATGTATGCGTACTTTATATCTTGGTAGCCGTCCACACTATTATTATCCGCAGTAGGTCCTCAAGGTGCAAAGTCCTTAGTGTTTTTTCCAAAATGAAAGAACTGATTTACTAAAAACAAATTATTAAGTGAAATGGAGATTCTCAATCGACTGTGTAGGGTCAACGTGTGGATTTTGCTACACGAAGCGAAAATATGTTAGAATGAGCGTTACAGCAACTGTTCGAATAACGAATACACCATTATTTCGCCACTTACTGAAAAACTTTTCGAGACCCATAGCATCTTATTTGTAAAAGCACATTTTTTCTAATTTCCCGAAAAGGCGACAGCAGCCCACATGGCTGGATAGGCCTTCTCCTAAGACTTATACCATTCAAAAACGCTCTGTCAGCGTGCTGTAACGCGTGTTGTGTTGCGAGGACAACTCACAAAAGACAAAGATGGATATTCTAGAAAGAGAAAAGTTCACATTCGAATCCTTCCGAGCGTCTTTGTTTGATGACAATGAAAGCACTTTTGAAGGAAGATGGTCGGCAAACAATTTGAGAATTGGCCAAAAAGATGAGGATATTAACAACAACCCAACAACTACAACCCAAGTCCCTTAAGTTCACGCAGACACTAGAGGCTTGAGTACCTCGTTAAGGTATGACGGCTTACCGGTGTGTCTCAACATCTCGTCTGATGTCGAGCATCACGCGACTACAATGACAGATTTTTGCACAAAATTGTTGCTGGCGATAAGAAGTGGGTCTGTGCAACCAGAGGTGAAAATGAGTGGATTCAGGAGAGACGCCAAAGCCCATTATGCTACCAGATCCTTATCCTGAAAAGGCTAAATTCCGAATTTGACTAAAAACTGCTTTCTATAGTTGGCACGTTTGTTTGGTCCAGCTGCACCAGGTCGACCGAGCTATTCGAGAGAAAAGTCCCGAAAATGGAATCAAGTCATTCTGTCCATGAAAGCACAAGACCGCGCACAGCAAAGATCGTCAAAGATGTTTTCCTGGATTTCGAGTAAAAGGTCTCGTTATGTCCTTCATATTTTCCGTTTCGTACGCCAATGAGTTTTCTGTTCAGTGGGCAATAACCTTGTGGCCTTAGCTACGACAAATATTAAGAACCCAAAACGTGATTGGAAAAACGAGAAGAAACCCGCTACCCTCTGACAAGAGAGCATACACCATTTGCTGGAAAGAAGAGAGAAAATCGCGGACAATGAGGGCGATCATATAATATATTATTTTCACAAGAATGAAAAATGCAATGTTTCGTAACCAATGAAAAAGCGCAGGAGCTTTTTTCCGGTCATTGAGGTTGTCTTAGACCTTCAATAATTATTAAAGTTGAGATTTTTCTAAACGAATTCGGTTGAAATAAGTACAGTATGGTAGCGTAGAGTGTGCATGATGAGCAACAAGGAAATACAATTGAAACTGCTTTATTTTTAAAATTTAAAATTGTAAATATTTTAATATGCATTGCTATGGTAGTTTGATAAGCAAAGAAGTACAGCACCGGATACATGCATACTGAAAGTTTACAAGAAGCCACGCTGAGATTAGTTTATTTACCAGTTATCTATTGATACAACCTGTTTATATAGCAAATGGGTTACTTTGATTTTGGTCTCTATATAAGGGCTGAAGCAGGCCAATCCAGTAGTATTTTGAGATTACTGGTAAGAAAATTCGAAGCAATTTTCATGTAAAGTTAATTTAAATTCTGGTGCACTTTAGCTACGCACCCTCTTGGCTTTACGACCTTTGTCAAAAAATTGTCCTCTAGAAAGCGTCACACACTCTCTTTAACAACCTATTACGGACAACAGAACAACGCCTAGGATAAAGCGTGCATAAATATTCATGTGTTTAACTATCTACGCCAGACAAGTAGAGAGAGGGTTTCTGACAGTCTACTTTCAAGCACGGGAAGATTTCCCTAACAACACTATACAAGTGCACGCATAGAGATTTTCGCCTATGTAGACAGCTTTTAGCTGAGCCTTTCTTTCTGGACTCGCAGCCAACGGCTCGACCCAATACCCAGATGAGCTAAAGAGTCAGTAGCACCTCATAGAAGGAGAAATAGATTCAAAAGGACTGAGAGACACAGGCGGGAGCAAAAGCACGAGCGCTGTTGCTTTGCTTACTGTAGTTGTCGTTCTTGCTAGTCAGCTAAAATCCGCTGTTCGGCTTTTGGTATTCGCTTGGCCCTCGGTCAGGTCAAGCGCCTGCCAATGTACCCATATTGAAAGACACTTAAGCGAATTGTGTGCGAACAGGCAACTCTGATCTGTGGTGTTTCCGGCAGCAGTGATCAACCCAGTGCCACCGAGCCACCGGAACGATCTGCAGTCGAGACGATTTATGGCCAACGAAGCTGCGGTAGCTGTAGCGCATAAAAGAAGGACTAGGCCCCGATAGTAACAGTAATAGCGGCAGACGTTTTCTCACGGGTGCGCGGACAGCTGCCATTCTCCATGAGCACTACAACGGCTAGGACGCTAAGCTGGTAACTATGGTCCGTAGCTCGAAGAGTCGTGAGTGAGTGAGTCTTTTATGGCGCGCGCCCTCTGGCGAGGCAGCTGAGGGGAGGCACGGTGTTTCGGCGCGACCAGAAAGCCGCCCAAACGAGGAAGCCATCAAGCCTTACGAGGGCTACCGCTACTAGCGTGGTAGCCTAGTTTGCAAGCGCCACCGATTCTGTCTGGCATCTCCAGTGATTCAGATACGGGTGCTGTGGGATCAGTTGGGTAAAGTGAGTGCACCATATCTTTATACTCTCCCTTTCGTGAATACGTTCTTCACGTATAACACCTGTTATTGGTACTGCTTTTTTGTTCAACTACGCCTCATGAGCTGTGTCCAAGTATACTGTGAAGTGAGAAAGCGGAATTGACAGCGTGTAACCGCCAGATGACGGGCCTGACTGTCCAGCTGTGCGGAGGACCGCCATGGGGATTCCGATTACACGGCGGTCGTGGCCAAAATTTACCCCTAACGGTCGCAAAGGTAAGAGTACAAAACCGTATGCGAGGAACGAAATTGCCCAAGTGAAATCGAATCATAGTTCTGCATGCATTCCTTATTGAGAAAGTTACCTCTCCTCCGTAAAATCACAGCCATGAAGATGATGACAACCCGTTACTCTGCGGAGTAACTGGCCCGCACTTAATCATATCGCTGCGGCACTGTCTCTCATCAATAGGTCTTAAGAACTACTGCGCATGATACAGGCCTACGGATCATACCGGTGCGGAAGTATCTGAAACTGGCTTAAAAATTAGTGGTCTGAATCTAGTTGAAGATCTTGATACCATCGGCTGTAGAACTACGATAGTTGTGCTCAAAAGAAAAGAAGAGCTGATAAGCCTCTTACCAGTAGCTAGGCAAGTATCGACAAAACGTTCCTATGATGCGAGGAGAATCGTACACATCGATACAAAAGAAGAATGAAACAATAGAAATAAATATGTGCCACGTTTCCGATGCTGCAACTGATAGATATCTCGGTAGAATCGCAACTGTTGCTGGTTACTATACACTCCTTTGATGATTTGAAATTTTAGGTTGATTAGGCTAAGGTAGTACACGGTAGAAGTAAGACGGTATGTTGTGCGTAGATCGATTTCATACGTCGATCTAATTAAACATTTTGAAAAGGATGAAAGATTTTGAGAATTTATCGCAGTAGAAGGTTATCTTTTGCCTTCGAGTCGGTAGACGACACATCGGTCAACAGGTTACTATTATACGCTGATAATTACTATATGATAATAACTATAAACCATAATATATTGAAAAGCCAATGCATGAACGATGACGACACTAACTTTCCAGAAGCTAGATAAGTTGTGGAGACTCAACGGAAGCTTTTTTAAAGACAACAGATATTCAGGGGGATGCTTTGCACGAACTTTTCTACTATTTGATATGATACAGAGGGGATACTATCGGAAGAATTCTACGAGTAAAGACTGTGCTAGGCAGTTTTCTATAAAGCAGATGTGGCACGTTACTACTTCCCATTCGTATCAATCCAATTCGATATATATATATATATATATCGTATATAAACTTTAAACAACCGATAAGCAATGGGTAGTGTTTCTATAGGTAGAAAATAGCGCCGTCTATTTAGGGAGACCGAATATGTGACCTATGTGAATTTGTATGCGTATGTTTAGCTAATTTATTGGATTGTACCAACGTATGAGTTTATGCAGAATCGATAGTTATAGCCGCCGATGTAACGTTATAGGAGAATTTGGCATTTTTATATCGGCATCAACGAAACGACAGCCTACGCACGAGTGGCATTTATTTTTGCTGCCTATTGCGTTATGCGAATTGCCTATAAATTAACACGTTTCAGTTAGTCTACATCGGGCTATAGCCCATTCACACGCGTCAAAACCTGTCTTCTGGTACGTTGCTCGCGTGTTGAAGGGGCAAATAAGGCATATTGAAGGTAGCGGACGCATTCTAAGCAAGTTTGTCATCTGATGGCCGCAAATATTTAAGGTCGTCTCTAGAAATGCCGCAAGCATAATGTTTGTTATGTTGATTATTTAAAGCCGTTAAACGCAGAGAAAGGTTTGTTTCTCCTCTTTGTTTTTAAAAATTGACTTGTCAGTGCTCTGTACGAGAGCGCTTGTTATATCCGTTCACTGGTCTCGGTCAAACCGGAAGGGCATTATAAACTCGGAGGCCAGCGCAACACTTCAGGCTCGTCGCAAACTCTCGTACGAAATATCTCAGCGCATGTTTCGTCTATGTATGAATCGTAACCTTGATTGTACATGCTGTCCTAGAATCAAACGGCAATCTACCGTACAGAATAAAATTTAATTTAGTCTCTTTTTTATTTATTTAAATTTAAGTTGGTCAACATAAGTATATCGCTTATGTCGAAGAGCTGTAGTTCACGAACTGTTCACAGGTTCCCGTTTTTCGTTAGCTTTAACAATCGTCACTTTTAATTTAATAGTCCTTTAAAGGAAATGAAAGAAAGAAAATTACATGTACAAGAAACTACCATGAAATAGATAACTTGAATTTCTAGACCATCGATTTGCTCGCTCTTGCATTGCTTGTACTAAGTTTTGCTCTAGCTAAAGTTTAGCAGTAAGCACAATCGTACTATAATATTAGGCAGATAAAAGCCAGTTTTATTAGAAAAACTAACGAAGGGATGGGGTTTGGAGTTCGGAAAAAGTATGTGCACGTGAATCACCCAGAGTTTTTCTATGGGAAAACTGCCGATAAACGCGTATCCATTATGCTAGTCAAAAGGATAGTGGCGGAAAGAAATTCCTACTGGAATACGGATCGGAAACGCTCAGCGTCCAATGTATGTGCTATGGCGTTGAGCGGCAGCCCAACGGCTGAGCAGTGCCTCTATCTGCATAAACATGACACAGCAAATAGAAAAACAAGGCATGTTGTAACTGATAGCGTGTACTAACCATCCACTCCCAACAGTAAATGTCGTTCACGTACACTGCGATTTTTTCTCTGATGGCGTCCCTGGTAACTTCAGTGTAAATATCTGGACGCTTCTTACTCGCGGAGCTGCTAAGCGCCAATTTGGGATGCCGGGATAGATCATCGAATTGAAAATGGCTATACTTTTAAGACTGGCCATTCTATAAGGGATATGTTATATTAAAGGAAAAAAAAAAACATTTGAGATGTTTTTGATAAGAAATTTTAATTTTTGATGAGAAATCCGCCAAAGGAGCGGATGCTCGATTCGCTTCCAGAGATTCCGCTGGATTTATATACATATATATAATGTGACAGTTCTATAGCTCTAGGTGACATTTTTCGTTCTTATAACTTTGGTCTAGGCTAAATGCATATATTTTGCTGGTTAACTGAGGAATTAAGAGTACACTCTTGGACATTTCATTTTTATCGGTGGGATATTGTTCGTTGTCTCATATTTTCTATCACACTAGCTATCCGAAGCGCTGCTTAACCGCACAACCGTACGTAACGATTCAAAACATGTGTTTGTTTAGATTCAAAACATGTGTTTGTTCCACTTCGAAAATCTGTTTTTCACTTTTGCGATCTGGCTGATCTTTTTACTAAGAGTTGTAGATATAATTCAATTTCGTATCGATAGTAGAACCATTCATTGATAGTTGCTTTCAGGCTAGTCTCCATCGGCAGGCAGGCTTGAAGTGGTAACAGGAGGCCAGGTAGGACCGAATGCGATTTCTTTTAAGCTCAGTATTTTCTACCTATTAAACAATAAATCATAGAGCAAATGGTCGTCTCTGGAGGTAACGTCTAATGGATAATAGACTCTTGCGGTCTGAGGTCGGATCTACCTCTATTCACTAACTACGCTGCTTAATAATGATAACAATGCGAAGTTTCTTCCCCAGGTATTCCTAAAAGCAATAATCCACAAAGTGCCTAGTAATCGATTTACCACGCAATACAAAGCACGCAATGAAACTCAAATTTGTAAACCACTTGCATTTTTCGACTATTAATAACTCACCGCTAGTCGCTTACCTGAAACCCTAGTGACGGGATCTGACTATTCTAGGTAAAGTGAAATTGCAAAAATTCTAAAAACACAAAAAAAGCCTTCCCAAATGTTGCACTGTTAAAAAAAATAGCAACTGAATGAAATAGGAAATCTACAGCGTTCCAATAGAGGTTTACAATAAACATAGAGGACAACGAACTGATATAATCAATGTCAAAACAAATTAAAAATCAATATATTTAAAATAAAAATTAAATTACAACTAAATTGCATTTAAAATATAGAAGAATTGTCCGATGAGTACCCCCTTGCAAATCAGATATTAATAGAAAAGCGAATTGCGGTTTTAGGGGGCAAACGTACTAATGACCTAAAATCACTTACAAGACATTTCTAGGGTGACGCGTATAATACCGTTTATGATTTACCCCTGAAGAAAAACAATAATTATCATTTGATTCTCTGCATGTTTTTATGCAAGTACATATTTTTGTTTGCAAGTACAAGTTTTGTTGAGATGGTCCTGTCTAGAAAACTTACCGTTCATAGCAATTCGGTATTTTTTTTTGCAACAAAAAGACCCATTTAAGCGAGAAATAACTAGGGTAGATTGATATCAACATTTTCAGTTTGTACGCATGTAATGTACGGTCATTTAATGATTATTTAGTATGTTATTGAAAGAATAATAGACCTCGTCGGATAACCGATATTCTAGACACGTAAATGAATCGTTTGTGTGCATGGCCGAGCAGCCCACGTAGTCGAGTTCGACAACCTTTACTATTATCATGGTTAATTCTGCCGTATTCTAGGTGCGTCGCAAGAGTAAATCATTCGGCCATCTTCTTGAGGGAGACAAAATTTCCCGAATCGGGGGACGCAGCGTAGACGGACTGAGCCACGACGAAGCAATGGCGCTAGTCGACTCGCATCAGGACAAACTTGACATTGAAATCATACGGTACGTGAGGTATTCAAGCAGGTTTTGCATTAGCGAGTTTACAGGTATGGGTAGTATTGTGGGGCTTGAACCAGCGACGTCGTGTTTTTCGGTCCGAGACCCGAGTAGAAAAATTTCTTAAAACCCGAAATTCGCCCATAACTATTTTTGTAGCTTCTTATGTTAATGGCCAACACTCAATTCGAAATGCTATCCTTTACGAACCTTGGAAAAATGTCATCGATTAACAAGTTGTTCGTTTTGACTCGTTTCAACATATTCAGAGAAAATCCTATCATTTGTCCAAGCTGACAAGATTATTCCATATGGATGATGTAACAAATTGGCCTGTGATTAATCCACTGAGTGACAATGAGAGAAGCACGGACGAGTATTGTTTCTATGTGACGCAAACGACGCGTAAGGATTGAGCAGGCCCCGTTCTTGTAAAGACGACGTCTTGAAGAATTTTATTATCATAAGCATGCAGTATGGCTCAGATGCGGTTTGCAGCCTTTAAACGGTAAAGAAGCTGGCCTGAGTAGCGAATGTTACAAATATTTTCTGGTCCTTAAGCTCTTTCTATTTTCACTTATTCGAGTCGCAGATATAAAGATGTAGGCCACAAACATTAACAATATATGTCCTAGATGAATGCAGTCCAAATCTGTGCATAAGGGCCTGTTTGAGGCCGAATATGTCGCAGTTCATCAGTAGAGGTCCACTTATTAGCAGCATTTTGATGCTGCTAATAAGTGGACCTCTACTGATGCAAATCAAAATTAGACGAACAAAGTCAGATGAACAACAACTTTCGAGATCGAAGCAGGTTCTACATTTGAGGCTCTACTCTCTCGTCCGCCCGCGAATGTCATGAAGCCTAAGGCTCGATGAACGTGAAGTTTCTGCTGTAGAGAGCAGGGCCATTTAAAAAGTAATTGCCAGATAGCTCACCTTCATCGGAGCGTAATTTATATAAACGGGTCCGTCGACAACCCGTGTGTACAGATGGGTGATAACTCCAGTGTAGCAGTAGTCGCAATACTTGACTTTGGGACAAATGGAAACGCCAGCTCTCCACCGTTGATGTATGAACTACGCTCCCCGGATACCGCATCACCCTTAAAAGGAGTATACACCTTTACGATGCTCAGTGCACCCCACTGATATTTCTAAAAGTGGTTAATGTCGCTGAGGACGATGGGGTGCCGTTTTTCATCGCCAGCAGCTTCACGAAGGACCCGGTCCTATGCAAGCAGTTTTTGACGAGGAGGTAATCACTGCTATGGCGTCTTTAGAATACATTACAACACACCTAGTGCGTGGCAATTTAAACGAACCACTCCGAAACTTAGTGCAGCGAAACGGGGTCTCAAGCTGTTCCCTGACAGGTTTGCATGCGTTACCGTGCAGCCTTATGAGTACAGATGCACGGAACCAGAGTCAAATGCTATTTGCGAAATTAGAAGACCTCCCCATTAGACCACATTGGGCAAACGAACAAGTATAACGAGCCTGAAGACCATGGGGCTGGCACCAATGAACAGTGTTTCTTTTATACTTTCAGTTACAACGGATGTCTTAGTGTAGGCGTGAAGTTGACAGCGAAGAAATGCAAGTACTTCAAAGTTACTCACGGGTCACTACAGCTATTTATCCGCGCATCCATGTCGATCTGGATCAGCACACGATCCCGACCGGCGATTCACCTCCAATACACTCCCAGTCACATCGAGTTTTACCGGCGCAGAGGCAAGTCAAATATGTTGCGCAATGGCATTTTTGAGCCCTCACCCAGCCCGTGGTCCTCGTGTGTAGTTTTGTGAAGAAAAAGAAGCAGATGAGGTGGTACATCTCTGCGGCGACTATCGGAGGCTAAACTCTACCACGAAGCTAGATCTGTATCTACTGTTCTGGATTGACTTCGTTGACAAAGCTCTCGCTTATGCTCACTACTTTGGTGCCCTGAACCTGATATTGGTAGGTTAGCATGCACTTGAAGGACAAGCAGAATACGTTTTGTGCACCTAGAGGCTCCAGTTCAAGCGGATCTCATTCGGACTCGCGAATGTTCCCAAGCGTATGTCCTTAGGTCTCGGCTGCCTACCCAAGGGCTTCTTGGGTATTTCGGGGGCTGTTACAATGCAAGATCGTAGAGGAGCCTGTCTTGTGGGACGTTCGGCAGGATTTGAAAGTTGAGAATGAAGTTACATACAGATGCTAGTGGAACCATGCTACGGGCTGTCCTGCGGCGCGAGTGGGCTGTCGTCTTGGCTAGCCGTCGTGAAGGGGACGCAAGCGACCTCCGACGAAACCTCCCATTGGACACGTTAAGCTGTCAAATACCATGCTGTAACTGGCCCGTCGAGCGTGTGATTCAAACGGTCACGCAAAGCCTGGGGGCTCCGATAAAAGAATATGGCGCTTGTTCTAAAAACTGTTCCCCTGGAGAGCATTTTCGCTCGATACATCCACAAGCTAAAACTTTGCCAGGACGCCATTTGAATCACTTTTCGGTTGCCGGGCTGTATTGCGCGGAGAGCGTTTTTGATGTGAGAACGCCGGAAGGCAGGATGCGGCGGAACTGCGCTCGAACGCGTATAGAGCACTCCGGAACCGGCAACGGCACATGATATGCGGTTTGAACGGAGACAGTCTGGTTTGCAGGAGTCTGAAACCGATGCGAAGGTAGTGGCGAAGGTCGAAACAGGCAACGCCAATACTTTCCAGGAAGTTCCAGCTGCGCTACCACGGGCCATTTATTATCGGTGGTCGAGTGGTTCCTCACAGCTATCGGGTTACGATGCCCCACAGCCCCCCAGCTGACCGTGAACGGAAAGGGTATGCGGTGGTATGTACTACTAATAGCGCGTACGAACGTAAGGGTGATAATTTTTAGGTGAAGTTTTAGACCCAAAATTTCTAGGCCCTAATCTGTATAGAAGGGGCTGCTTGAAGCCAAATAAATCGCAGCTCATCAATAGCAGCTTTCGCATTCAGAGCACAGCAAAGAGTGCAAATGGGGAGAGCCCAGAATATAATGGGCAGCCGTTCGAGTTCATTGCTGGCAGCAGTCCCGAGAACGAAAACTACTCTCATTTATATATATGTGGTATGCGCTTTGTTGTTTGTCTCTTCGTCGGGTTTAGCTCATATTTTGTAAGCTTACACACATACCTCACCTTAACTCTAAGCTGAGGTATATGTGAAGCCTAGAATCATACATTAGTTTCGCACTTATCACATTTAAAGATTCATGCACCATTTATTTAAAGTCAATTAATAGCATCATGGGCATTCAATGAGAGTAACAGTTAGCATTTTGTCGTACTTACAGCTACAAATACAGCGACTTTAAGGAACAAAATGTACCTTTTTAAGGCTGTACAATCCGTTTCACATCTGTATTGTTTCGTTGTTTATGTAGCAAACGTATAATGAAGAATCCATTGCATTACAAGATGAAGATACGTAATTATTGGTACACATGATAATGACGCGAAAGTTGAGCGAGAGCAAGTCTTTTTTCACTGTTAGTATTTCTAAATGGTTAGGTCAATCGGTCTAACGATGCAACAACTTAATGTGAGAATGACGCCATTACCCTATCAAAATTTATGGTCAACATTTTTCTTCGAAATTTGGACACTGCCCTGTATTTCCATATAGAGGTAGCGTGGACATTGTTTAACTGTGAAAGGTCTTTCTTCCATAGACGTTAGGGTGAACAAGTAGCCTACATAGATATAAGGCTCCGACCGTTTGTTCTTTGCACAAACTTCGTTTTTGATTGCTCAAAGGGATCGCAACAAGAAAAAAATATTAAGGCACTTGATATAGACTATTTCTAAATAAAAAATTCTGTCTTTTTTCGACATTGCGAAAAATCATTACGGACCTAAGGTTTAGCAAGGACTTCACAAAAGCATTACACAATTTTTGCAATGCTTAATGAGGCGTACGAAACATAATAAGGTATAGTCTTTCCTGTGTTGCAAAAGTCAGTGATGTGGACCTTAAAACCTATGTTTTATAACATGTTAAACTTTGTCTATTATGCATTTGAATGTAAGCTCTTTTGAAGCAATCGACTATTAACATTTGTTTTAAAAAATTGATTTTTCTAAAATAATTTTAGATTTCTTTAGGTGTTATTAGTAAATATTTATAATAAGTTCAAGTCAAAATAACAAAGTCCTGAACTGTTTATTTCGTAAATGCAGTGACGTAGTTAAGAAAAATCTTAAACCCTCAATCTTTTTGGCATGTACGGTACGCTCACTAATTTAAGTTGATCTTAATCTTTGTATCACATTCTCGGATTAATTGTATAAATTAAACGGGCACTTGGCGCAGAGGCTACCGGTAACTAAAATTTGATAAATCTACTCCGCGATTTTTTTATATATAATCAAACATAGAGCCTTACTTTACTTGGGTTTCCTTATAGTAGAACCTTAGTTCCTTTAGTTTGTCCTTTACAATAAAGGCCCTTTAATGCTACCGCATGCATCAAGTACCTTTCACTGCCAGCTACTAAATTCACTGTTAAGTACATTAAAGGCTACCATCTTTTTATATATAGAGAAAAGAAAAATGGCCACATTCGCAGCTGGTTATCAAGAGGCATTCTAGGAAAAACATTTCCACCTGGTAGCGTCTTTTTGTTAGATTCGATGCCAAACTGTTTTAGCTGCTACCAAGCCTTTGTGATGTAAGCGGAGGGTTCTCTATAAACATATAAAGTTGGGATTACTCCCTTTCGGCGATTAAGCTAGAGTGAGGTCCTATGCACCTCAAACACCATTGGTCATTGTTTGCAGTTTTACGGCTTCAGCAGATTTCGCTCACGCTATCGTTGCGTTTATTAGCTGAATTCTCTCAGTCAAAGGGTTTGTAGTGGAACCGATTTGACCTAGTCGATCGTCTGGGCTACTCTATGGACCACTCTGCTGCTAAAATGTAGTTTGAGCTCGGTCGATTAGAGCCTCTTCTCATTCGCCGAGTCACATTTGCGAGCACGACTAGCGGCCATACATGCAGTGAGCACCAGATACGATGGTGGCCGTTTATACAAAACCTACAGTGGTCCAAAAGAGCCCAGTTCAAGGTAAAACCCACTCAACGGGTCCCACTGAGCTTTCCGAGCTCGATTTCAATCCGTCTGACCACTGCCAATGCCGTAATTGTTCGCCTTAGAAGTTGCGAATTTATAAGTTCACTTGATGAACAGTAAGAAGCATCCCAGCGAGGGATTGGTTTCCTAATCAGATGCCTTCTCAACTGATAATCAATAACTAATAATGCCGATCTGGCGTGTACTGTTAGCTGTCTGTGAGACTTAAATCGCATCAGCATAATGCTAGTTGAGTAGAACTATTCCAGTAGAAAATTGTGAAATAATCTAATAATACTAATATTATTATTATTATTATTATTATCTATATGGACTACAGGCGTCGTGATTCTATTTCCGGTAGTGCCGGCGATTCCTGCGAAGTTCCTTCTGTTTCATTATCCACCAAAACATCAGCCATGCCGATTGTCGCCAATCCCGATGAAACCGGATCCACACATACACCGGTTGGTGGCAAAGATCTTACTGGGGCCCAAGTTCTGGAAAGTGAATTGGGTTCGTCAGTGGGTAGTAAATGTGATTCGATGCAGCCGACCTCACAAATTACCGGAAACAGCTCACAGACACTTGACGCATCGCATTTAACTAGCCCCGGTGAATCAACGAGATTCGCAGATCGTCCCCATCTTATTGACGCAAACACGGGCCACGAAAACGAAACAAGAACCCACGCGAGTGAAACGCAAAATAGAGAAACGACCACCAATTCATCAACCACTGTCAACATTTCCGGAGCTAAATTCGATCTCGGTGAGTTACTTATTATAATATGTAGTTCGCAAAAAAACCTCTACCTCCGATTACTTTATGTTATACGTTTGCTCACGGATTTGACATGAGCGTATGAAAGTAACCCATCGCTACCATCTCAAAATCAGTCCTTTAACCATTCGGTTTAGGCGCTGCTTTTAATTGTTCGCATAGAGACTCATCGAATATATAACTTGACATTGTATCTGACCTGGACACCTGATTGAAAAGCTGTAATCAATGTCCGTCGGCCCTGCCTAACTCGATTTTGATCTCGGCCTTCGGCCACGAAAGGCTCGGGTTTTACTGTGCCGGCATCAATTGGTTCCGGTAGCAAGTTCCCTGCAGGATCCAGCTTGGCTAATCCATTTGCTGGCGTTGAGCAAATCCTAGAAAGTGAAAGCAAATCGTCTAAGGAGCAGATACCCGGAGGGGAGCTAAATCGCCTTGAAACGCGCGAGACAAAAATTACCGGAGATGGGGCTTATGTACAGAGCCACACGCTTGCCGAACACAAGGTAAGTAAGTCATTGCTTCTAGTTTTTGATGATACTTAACATCAGCTGGCAGGCTTATTCACTTCACTATCAGTAGTAGAACCGTAACTGACGATTCATACTGATACCAAAACTACTATGTACAATAAAGGTTAAGCCTATTCAGCCGCTATGGCCTTAACAGTAGTACAACGGCAAAGCGCAGAATTGCCCTTAACTACAACAATACGATTCATTTGCCACAGGGGACAATTTCTAGTGTTATAGCTATGATATATTTCTGTTAAATTGAGCTTCAATTTCTATTTTGACAATGTTCATTTTCAGAAATTCAAGCTCGATACACTGAGACATGTCTGCATAATATTTCGTTTGCCACTAGATGTTTTTTAAAAATAACAGGATTAAGTAGCACAAAAACAGGGATTTCAACAGTTGTCTGGATAGGTACGTGAGTAGTGTCTTCTGTTATCTGTATCATGGAAGCTATATCAGTGGCTATTGCACGTTCAGCCATAAAAGCCCTTATAGGCCATTTCTATTTTCCAGTAAAGGTCAAGGAGGCCTTCAAAGGTCAGAGGCAATGTTTGACAGGCTTGCTTTAACACGATGTTCGGGTTATGGTCCTGTCAACTTCTCAGGCTAGCTGAATTATAATAGCAAACGTTCAAAACTAGGAAAAAAGAACTCGATCTCCACAAAGTAGAAGCAATACAAGTGTATTTAACGCGTTCATCTTGCGCGAGCTCAAACCTACTCGAGGGCATAGACCGGAAGTACAAATGGCAAGAGCTTATGTAATGCGCTAATGGTTGCGTATAGTATATGTGTGATATTTTCATAGTTACATTATCGTACAATTGAACTGGAAACTTCGAAGGAAAGAAAAGCGTCAAACCTAATGCACAGATCTATTTGGTGGCGTTTCTGGACGATGACTTACGTCGCGCATATGATAAGAAGTGACGCTTAGCAAAAATGCCTTAAATACCGGCGATACCAGTAACGCTTAGCGTTTAACGAATAAAAACAAAAACAATCTGTTTCTAACAAATTCTAATAACACCAGATATCTGTCAGCTGCATATATCGATGCAACAACGAAGTTTCGCACATTTTTATGTCGGTATTAGTTCAGCACGAGGCAGGCGACCCCTAGCTGGTTTTCAGTTAATCATATATTGCTGCGCAGCTTCTGACAGCCGATTACTGATCGTTCAGTCGACTGATCTTTTTTTGTACGACGGCATTCTTGATGACGAGAAGTGGCTGGGATTCTTATTGGTATTAAATATAATGGATGTGTTGGCATAATAAGTGCGTGTTAATTAGAACGTGTTCTTTGTCCTAACATGTCAGAGGTCTACGGAATAGACGAGCAGCTAGAAAGTAGTATGATAGTCTGGCTCAAAAGCAAATGATTGATTGCCAAGCTGATTTTTCCGTCATATGAAAAGCAACGCAGATCGTTGATGTAAATGACAGTACAACTGGAAATATCGTTTTCGCGGTTACATACTAGAACGTCGATACGGCGGTCGTTACACTGTGAGGTTAGCTCCGAAGGTTTTCGAGTTTATTAGACCTGCGTTAATTAAATTAGTAATTAACATTAGAAACGTTCATTTCACATGCTCTCGTGACAAAGTCTATAGAAATTGCTACCTTAAACGGCCTCCAACAAAAAGATCCCATGTCGATTTTATCCTACTTGACATGGCCACAACGATGGAGAGTCGCGATGCTGATGCGTTCGACTTCACCACAGATGCGCCACAATGTGCCGAATACAGGAGCGTTCAAACGTATTAGCACGCGCGAACGTGGGCAAGTTTGCAACAAAGGGTTGAACTTGCGATACTCGTCGTTGCCATCAATAGGCAAAGTCTGATTCACCGAAAAAATAGCGAACGCCACCCGTGTGTTGGCGACAGCAAAACGCAAGTTAAGCAAAGTAACTTAAGACCAGTCGTTGTTCAGTAAAGTGTAAAACAACGATCCAACACGGTTTGTCAACTACGTCCTCAAAATAATAAGGAGTTCATAGTAATAGTAAGCAACACATCTACCTTTTCTAAATATGTTGTAGTGAATATAGTTTTTTTTATCTACGATTATGTATACGTACAAAGAAAAAGAGATAGTTTCAAACAGACCGAGAAAGTGACCGAGGGTTTACACAGTGTGAGATTTGCTTGAAGATATAAACAGTTTACGAAGAAAGACAGATACGTCTTTTCTATCGATAGAGAGTAGGCAATGACCACGGGGTTTGCGAGGTGATGCTGTAGGGCTTGTTTTGCTACCTGGGCTTATATGTCAGTGTAAAAATATATGCACCGTAAATAAATGAAGACTTCTACGAAAATTATGCTGAAGATCAGCTCCCTTTGGTTCCGTAAGTTATAAATTGAAACATTTCAAAATTGTTTAAAAATCTCTAAGATTTTAAGGAAGAAGCTTTGTTTACCCGATAGCATATTTCTCCATGTAGCGAGATGTAACAGGTTGTTTGGACATGTTTCCGGGTAAATTTGTGTCGAATATCTGTCGTCCCGAAAAGTATCTTTCACAGCGGTTTTTGACTGAAATTCAGCCAATTAAGAACGACATATTTCACTTCTATCAATAGAATATCAACTTAGTATTAGAAAACTACACACTTAACTTGGGCTTATGGTTAATTCGAAAATATCTTCACGCAAGCTATCGACTTATTTCTACTCCCTTATTAATATGTTCGTATTTTTATCGTATTTATGATGATAGCGACATATTAAATGATCGTACCTTCTTGCGAGGCATAGGCCTACTCGGGCTTTAAACAGCTAACCCATATATAGGTCCATCTGTCCAAGAACTGATCAGTTCTCAGTAGCTCAACCTTTAGCGCCTGTGGCCTGCTGTAGCAGTTGTGTATTCGTATAAGATTAATTCTATTCATAGTAAAGCGCGCAAAATTTCTAACCAGCTTTCGTTCAAAGAGTTTACCCTATGCTACCGTTGACTTTCGAGCGTCTACCGATTTTAGATTCCTAACTTCAAATGATAGTAGCATACGTATGTAAACTAAAGGGAAATGTTTACTTGCAAGAACAAATATGTAGACTATCTTCAGTAGTTTGTCTATTGTAGAAATTGAGGCCCAGATGTAACGATGTTTTGCACCGAGATGTGATGATGTGTTGCGAGGTTCTTTCCAGAATTATATAGCCCATGCGTAAAGCGCAAAACTTTGCACGAAACGTTTAACTATGAAATATCGCTTTACGGCGTTAAGCCGTATTTTTGCTAAGTATGTCTATTGATTACAAGACTCGGTCTATCGTTTGTGTGCTGACGAAGTCCTAATCCTAAATGATCTTGCATAATTCGGTTCCATCTATCAGAATTAAGCTTTCTTACTTTTTTCCCACATTGTTTTACAAACAATGTTTTTGACTAATCTACTTGGAAGGCTGACCGGGTAATTTATCGACGATCTTCCATCTTCGATGAACTTTACTGACTATGAACCAAAGGAAATGTTGGCAGCGCCAACCGTTCGGTAGAAAATTCGTATATAATAGTTTGAACCTTTTTTGTTCTTTTCTCTCTAAAAAAATTTGCCTAATTTTACATCCAGAATTTTGCAGAACGTAAAGGGGAATGGATGAACTTTTCCAATGTTCGTTTATGATAATATAATATAAGTAATAATCGCATAAACACTTATCAGTGTAAAATATTTATTATTTTCTAAGATGTTTTTGACTTCATTACCCAAATACTTGCATGAATTTAATTATAATCTTAAATACCGTCATCCATACGAATGCGCTTTAAGATGCTTCAGACAAAGCACAAAAATCAACCGTTTACGTCAAAATTGACGGGCTAATTTTCTCTAATCACATATGTATAATGTGACAGTATCGATTATATTTTGTGACAGAACACACTTTGCCATTTCAACCGCAATGTTTGTTTGATTCCTCTCGCTGGAACCTTTATATTTTAGCATTTTGGCTCTTCCCATGTGGCTGAAGAAGGAGCGCAGGCCATTATTACTAGATTTAAAGGAGAGCTCTGGCACTTTTTTTAAGCATTGTCTATTTTCCGAAGTGCTGTTGGGTGCATTCCAATTGGAGACCCCAAAGCGAACTTTGTCAATTAACTGCTAATAAAAGTAGTGATTACGGTAGCTGTATTGAGCATTTACACGGGGGAGGCGAGCACCCCAATTAAACGTCAATTTAAAAAACTGCACGAGAAGAACCGAAAAAATTTTCACTGGGCTATATGGAACTTATCGTGTGCTTGCCTTAAACATACCTCCCGTAACATTAGCGTAAAAACAAGACATTGGCTAACATCAAGAAAACCGTTTCCGTCAGGGCTAGAGTGCACAAACACTTTCGCCATGTGATCAAACAGGAATCGGAGATCACTGATCAGAAAGCAGATCAGTTGAACGAATCACTGTCCCAAAGGCTGAACCACCTAAGCAACTGCACCGCCACCCAAAAGGTGTGCTACATAGTTCGTTTGCCTCCTCTTACAAACGTCTCGACCGACATTGGCATAGCTTCAATGCTAACTGCCCTCTGGCGGGTAGAATGCATCTCCTTTTAGGCTTTCTCTTTTCAGAGGAAAGCTTCAAGAAGCGGCTGTTGGCGCCGCAGACGGTTCGACGATTTGTGCTTGATTCGGTAAATATCTGCGTCTGTGTGTGTGTGTGTGTTTTTGCGGGCGGTGGCATGCAATAATAACACGGCTGACTTTTAAAGCTCTCCGTTGGCACACAGCTTAGGATCAAGTCTAAGCAAGAAACAGGAGGGTATGGGTATCTTGTCCCTGAGAAACGATGCTGTTAGCTCAGCGTCTTTGTGTATGACCTCGTTAGTTGTCTGAAGAAGATTTCTCCGCTATAGCTTTTGTGAAAGACGTTAAGCGAGGCAGCAAAGAATCGCAGAGTCTGCGGCAATTGCATCGATCGACTAAACCAACTTCAACACAATATTACGTGTCAATGTAAGTACTTGTACGATATGTTCCATGCTATGTAATAGATCGGTAAGATATTTAGGTAATAGCAAATTTCGTACAGATATGTTAAGCGATAGAAGCTTAACTTGCTGCTCAAGACGTTTGAATGGTACATAACAAAGTGCATTAGCTATTAAGGTGCTGTCTTCAGTAAAAACTGATAAGCGGATGAAGTGAAAGCCACATTACCTAGATGTCAGTGTCAGGAATGAAGTTGAATCGTGGAAACAAATATCTTCACATTAATCTAGCCCTAAACTGGGCATAGGTCCGTTTTCTTCTGCATCAGAACAGAGCGGAGTATAGCAGCGAGTATAGTGTGTGGCATGTATAGAAGATTGGTGGAATATTAGCGATGCCGACAGTTCTTGTAGCTTTTTCATTCAAAGTCCATATTAACGTAAGAATCTAATCTATTTTCCATTGTAGTTTGCATTTAGTGTAGTCCGGATATTGGTGACGATTCATGCGTCATTGTGACGCTTATCGCACCCCCGAGCTAATAACAAGCATTTCCTCTACCATTCCATCTTCAGATATTAAATAGAACCCCAGACACAGCAGGGCGTCGACTGGGACAATTGGGAAGGCCCTACAAAATGAAAAACGATCTATCAGCCATACGTTTGGATGGCACTTGTTCCGTAGATCAGTTAACTAACAGTTATCTAATTTAAGATCTGAATTCTGCCAATATTACACGACAGATGCCTCTTGCACAGCGCACACAACTGTTTCGACGAGCTCACATTGATTCGCTAGTCAGTAGCCACGATGATTTTCGGAATCAAGTTGAACGGGACTTCACTCAGGTCCGTCGCCAGATGGACAGAGACATCATCGCTGCGGTTCTATTGCCTAGATACAGCCCACGTCCTGGAGGGGCTAATTACGTTTCGTCATGCCCGCATCATTCGTTGACTACTGCTCGTAGCGCGAGCTCCACTAGCTGCCATGCTCTATCCAAGGTGTGAACCATTTCGGAAAAGAGTGCAATATTCTACAACTTCATTGTGTATATGCATGCTGACTTCAACAGTAAACCTGTACGAACTCATCAAAGTATCTATCTTTCTGTTTCAGAAAACTGAATTCGACCACACATATTTCTATGACAGCTCGTCTACTCGCCGCAGGCTGTATTAAAAGTAGGCAATGAATGCCAAAGAAGACGCAAATTTGGGTTAAACGAAGAGCTTCATTACGACACGCTCTTAGCAGCATGGACTCAATACGAGTCAGACTTACACACATAGAATATATATGTAAGATGTTGTTGTAAATAAAAATACTAAAAACGTCTGTATCGGAAAATTGTTTCTAACTATTTTTTTTTACCAAAGACATTGTTAGCTCGCAGTCCTTTAAAGCCCGTATAATTTAACTCTATGTATGCCAGCTGTGCTTGAGAATTGCAAGCCACTATTCATTCTGTAAATTGATGAATTAATTTCATCCAATGTTACTTATACGTTTTTTTTTTCTATAGTCCGTTGATGTGCTAGGTATTGCACATCTGGGGTTTCTTGTTGCAAAATTATCACAGACACAACGAAGGGATTTGTTCGCTATTAAGCAGAGCAACAAAAACATTTGCACACGATGTGCATATATGTATATGTAAATAAACGATTAGTACATCTCGACATTTATCCGCTGCCCTATGCTAAAAAGATAACGTCATATTGTCGATAAGATCTACTTGCCAAGTAGTTACGGCACACGTCGGCGCTTCTACAGTCAGAAGCAGAATCCGGCGGGAGATTTCTGTCTTAGCTGTATTACGCACAAACGTAAACGCTGGGAAGTCAGATCGCTTAACAGTTTGTTAAAAAGGATTACATAATTTTTTTTCAAACGCTATCCTGCTGTAGTTAACTTGTATCTACGAGTAATCTAATTGGCCGCCAGTGCCAAATGTCTTCTTTTTTTCACTTATTTATACAGGCATATATGTATATAACTATGCGATCCGATGCGTGGGTTAACTTTTTTTGTTTGTCTTCAATGTAAACAGACAGGCCAGTAGCCGGCGGCTCTTGGCTATATGGCAGGCTCGTGCAAACTGAGCAGCAGCTGCGGCAGCAACTCGAGCAGTAAGAGACAGTCACTTTAAGTTCTTGCCTGAAGTCCGTTTGTGGGCCTTTTCGTCATACGAAATGGTCTTGCACTTTTTCCTGTCTACGTTAATCAGGAACAAAGAAAGAAACATAACAAGGATTCCACAGACCTGACATGCCACCCTGTCACCTACCTACTTATCGAGCTATTCTACGGGCACGAGGCATAGAACGCTTGTTGTCAGTCCCAGTGCTTGCTGTTAGACGATAGGCATATCCCATGATTATCCTCAGTAGTGTACACCGCGTATCAAAGCACATACTATTAGCTCATGATTATGAGTTCTTGACAGAATAAACACATAAAAACATTGGTTGAACTAAACGCAGAATAACGTAAATAGGGTAGCGTAACGAAGGGACGAAAGCTACTCGATACGGCCGCTTGGTAATCACTTCTATCTGACGTGCCTATTCACAGCCGAATCGAGCAACATTCACAAGGTTCATAATTTGCCCTTGATGGCTTCCGCTATCTCTTTTTGATGACATAATTTCAGCTTTTACGACCGGCCTCTATTTTTCACCATTGCTGTGAATATCTGCCAGGATAGGCACCTTAATAAGGGAAATCTGGAAAGAACGAGCAGGACTCCTGCTATGCATCAGCTTACCGTTCTGATGAATCAGTTACGACAGCCTGATATTTTAATTATACCGGATTAAACAAATTGAAACGTTTCGATAGGTATTTTCGAAATTATGCTCATACAATAACGAAATGTGAAGCCTTCGTCACAGCTTGGTAGATTTTCTATCGTTAGTATTATTCAGTGAATAGTTTGTCACTGCATTCGTACAGTGGAAAAAATACATTACATTTTTATTTATATATATATCTTTGAAAACTTACTATTTATTCTCATCTATCAGTAACATTGCTTTTGTAAAGACTGTTTTTTTTATAAAGTTTAAGCCCCTAAGATAGGATCTTTTGTGTTTTACACACCTATCACGGTAACTGTACGTGAGGTTGGTATCGCCTCTGAAAACAGGTGTTAAAAAAAGATAGATCTTGCCTCACATAAATAGCCTGTTGGCGTTCAAACATATATTAACAACCGTCGCAAGTTTTCTACTACGGCACCTTATTTCTCCTAGAAGATTTGTTTGCCGTATAAAATGTTACTCTATTTCGTGGGAGTCCTCATAGGGTTTTTTTTTTTTAGGAAACTTGGCGATTATTAGCGATTAACTAGGTAGAAAAATTCCATTCTGTGCTGTGAGCCCTATAAAAACAGACAAACTCCTGCTCCCTGTAAATATAACTTGACTCATCGAGACGTCAGGTGAACTGCGAACGTTACTTGAGTGTATATCTTCAATATGAATAGATCTGTAGACCCTTAATTAAATATAGTATAAGCTGCGGCCCATTTGATAAACGTACTTATTGTGTTTTTATGCATAGCTTCTATATGCCGCAGTTGTGGGGTGTAGAGTTAACTGTTACGAGATCTCCTATCAACTACGAACTATTTGCATTTATTTGTTGATGTAAGTTTACGACGAGGTGGAGTTCGGCAGAATGTCATCTCGTTTCAACCAAAGTGATGTACTCAAAATTGACCACTCGACCCCTGTGAACATTTTATAATACGGAGGCATTAAGAACTCGATGAGGATTTAGCCTCGAAAAAAAATAACAGCAACAACTTTGAATGAAAATTATTTCAAAGTACGATAGATATTCTTTAACTAGTATCGTTTTGCTCGTGGATATAGTTTACGGATTCCTGGTTTCAGGAGGCCAGCCTTTGCATATTTAGCCAAGTAAACGTTTAGTTAAGGCGCTGTATTTATGCGGGACTCCAGTTTCCGAGAGAAATTTTTTTCTTAGAAGCAATCTTTTCCGATGTCTAATTTTCTACATATATTTATTTTAAGCTATACAAAAGTAATGTATTGCTTGGCACCTGACAAACGAACCACAAGTTATTTAATTGATTATAGGTATTTGCAGTACGGTTCGCCGTAACAATCTTGTCAGTGAATAATTAAGTGAAAAGAAAACCTCCGTACCCGTAATGAGTGAATGTCTTTTGTTTCAATGTTCAGCAGGTATCAAGCGCTTCATCCACGTCGCCTCTTTGTATTTCGGTAAAGGCCGGAACAGGACCTCTTAACGATGATACACTCCTAATCAGTCCAACTGGTCGGCCTATAAAGGAAAGATATTACAAGCCATTACCGGACGAACAGCTCAAAGAAATTGACGACATCATGGCTCCTATTCTGAACAAAAGTAAGCAAAAGAAGGTCAATATGTTCCTAACGTTATTGATTGCAATTGATCTTCAAACACAGTATGAATGACTGCTGCTGAAGATCGAAGAAGTAGCGTACACAGAAAGATAGTTTACAGCAAGATCTGTGGCTGGCCGTCGATACTGTGTAGCATAAGTACAGCTGCCGCTGTTCAGTTCCAATCAAGAAGTTGTCATGTGATTTTCTTGTTGAATACGTAATCGATAGCGCTGAATGTAGCATACATCTGTTGCATATGACTTTATTTTTCTTATAGAGAAAGTGTTTACCTCCTCGTCGTTCTATGAAGATGCCAATTCAACCTACCCGACCGTTGAGGAACAGGTACGTGTCTGTGACTCCTCATCGCAGTGATCAAGTTAACTGTTATGGAAACAAAACTCTACATACACGCACATACGGTGGCCTATACTAAGGAATATACTAACAGGAAACTGCCGTAGAAGCAAACATATAGAGACCGCATTGCCATAGAAGTATTTGCATATTCGCTGAGGTAGAGACTGTATAGCTCCAACGAGTTCGCTTGTACATGAATCGCATATTTCTTTGACCAGTGGTTCATGTCTCTCCTATGTCTATTCTACACTGGCCTGGGACTTGACAGTTACGACATTCAAGTTTACAGTACCCAATAAACATCATATAAATCTTAAGAAGTTCCTTTCTGTAAATAGCGTTCTTTATCCCTCATGTTTATTGCTTGTGAAGTAAGTAACTTGGACACCTATCAGATCCGGCAGCATGCACTTCGTGAAGTGCTTTTCACTAGACGCGAGCACATTTGTCTTTTGATCTCATTTTTTTTAAATAGTATGTTCCTTAAATCTGCCTGTTTTACATAACAGGCTAGATTCGTTGGTTGGCTAGTGTATTGCCTTGAGGTAAAGAATTCAGCCTGTAGTCCAATCATTACTTCAGGCTCCTAACCTAATAGGTCTAAAAGCACGCACACACGTCAAACTCATATTTCTCAAGTCACGAATAGTGATCAGAAGGTCGAAACGAAAGGTAGCATGCCATGCAATTGACTAACCCCCGTGAGACGATATTACCCTTAATGAATTACCACATTCACGTATAATAGGTATATGCTAACTTCATATAACCGAATACAACGCCATTTTGAATTCTTTAAATGTGCCTTATTTGTGATATTATCCTATGGGACTAGGTGAAAGGAAGAGTTAATACCTTGTTTACATTGTTTATCTAAATCCAGGGTACTAAGTTATACCGACATTAGAGACTACAAAAAGTGATGCATAAATAATGATAAAGTTGCTGTGATACGGTTATCTAGGACCTACGATGATGCTCTAAGAGTGCCGCAGGACTTTAGGCAAAGTAAACTTGTTTAGAACAGTTGAGTCTACAATTCGTCTTTGCAGGTTGGGATGGCGCGTAAAATTGCCGAAAGCCTTTCAAGTGATTCCAACGCTCAGTCAAAAGGAGCAAACATGTTCTTCCGTCGAGTGAAACGAAGTCACAAATGGGTTCATCAAGGTCTGTGGGTCGCCGGTCCATGCATTTTCGGTGGCTGTTAAATTCAGAACTACCTAGCTTTAACATTCAAATGATAGCGCTATTGCCAACGGCTTGTCGGAGACATTTTAGGAGACATTTCCACTATGTAGCTACTATCGATTTTGACCCCGTCAAGCCTCATCTCTCAACTTTAGAATCGTTTAACTGAACTTTCATCCTGCTCATCAACTTAAAAGCCAACTGCACAAAGGAAACAATGCAAGAATCATCTGCTAGCAGAAAGTAATGACATACCTTTGATGTAAGCGGCCTTTAGCCTGTATCAGAGATACATTACGATAGTGTACTATAGTTAGTCACGGTAAACCATCACGCACAGCTGATACGTACGAAACTCAACTAATAATATCGATTAAGCACATAAGGTATGTAATTTATGGTTTGGTTACCTTAAGGTAATGTAACTGTAATACTTTGATGTACCGGAAAGGGAAATTTCGTTAAAGGATTCTTCTAATCAAAACATTTCTGTCCTTGCGAAAACTGTAAATCATATTAGTACTCGAAAATCAGTATGTCATGGTTAACAGCCCCTATTTCGACTACTTGTTGTGACACCATGGGGCAGGCTAGCAGGAAGATCCTTCTTAAATCCATACAAAATTACCTGAAAAAAGTTAGTAAACGTAATAGTAGCCAAATTTTTACTAAAGTGGTACAAGCATACAGTATTGCGATATCTATAGCACTACCTTAAATCAATGGCTTCCGTCCCATAACAAGCATCCCCAACATAACAAGCAAAGCCGAATCGCTTTTCCCAGATTCGTTATCATTGCTCTACGCCGAAAGCCATTGCTCGATGAAAAACTAAACATCTTAGTTTTAATATTTCTTTATCTAAATGGCCGTTTGCGCCTACAAAGCACAAAATCAGAGTACCGCGCTTTTAAGCTTCTAAGAAGATATACGATTCTCCACGACGAAATCCAACATATTTGACTTAGGCGAGCACGCCTTCATCACCAATTGCATCCTATGTGCTCATACGATCATATTTTACTAAAATTACATCTATTATCTCACTTTCATACACATTTGGATGTTTAGCAATCAAATTAAACTTCAGTTTGCCTTAAAAAATATCCTTCGGTAGAAAAATAATCTACTACTTACTAAACCCATTAGAATATCTGGAGTGGGCTTTAAGACAGCTGATAGTTGAAATTTCTTATTTCAGCTCCGGGAATTTCTGAGTCAGAATACACCGAAACTGAGGATTGTTCGACTGTCCCAGATCCCGACAAATTTCCAGGTGTTAAAATTTCTAAGGTAAGACCTGGTAGGATGTTGCAATGTCTTCAATATCTGTGAATTTTCTGCTTAACATCTAATTCGCTTAAGTCAAACAAACCTTTATGCTGACCAACCGAGCCGTTTTAATTAGGTTGAAATTAAGTAGAAAGGGCCTTAAGTTTGTTCGTTATTTTCTGATATTTCGTAATTGATAATTGCTAGAATTCATGTTGGGTAATAAGCATAGGATGCGATAAATATCATCGAATTTAGACAATCAGTGCGATATTTACGTGGGTCAAAGCATTTTTCCACCACCAAATGCTAACATAGTACCATATAACTAGGCATACGTAATAGGCTCCAAACTCTATGAACTATAAATTGATGTTTTAGACAGCTATACGCTTAACTTGTATGTCCAGTTCTATCTATAAATTACCTAGTCTCCACAATAGGTACCTTATTAAGCCATTTGCTCACGGTATTTTAATATGCGCCCCAACCTTTGCTGGGTATTGTCCACTGATGCTTCACTCCTTCGCCTTCATCGAAGGACCAGCTCGAACGACTCATTGCTTGAATCGCTTTCACTCTTTTGATGGGTGCATGAAATCGACTACGATCAAGGAATGGCCTTGATAACATGCACTGATCTGAAAACTCGCTTATTATTTGGCTCCGGCTTTTAGACCCATCGGGGTTCGTAGATGGCGTAATTCACAGTGTAACGTATATGTAAATAGGAGATGTACATATTTGTTGAATTATCTTCTACACTCATAACATTATCGGATCGTTCGAGTTTTATGGCTTGTAGGTGATCAAGCCTCGTCACTCTGAAACGAACGTATTCGGTTTAATGTGTCTATTGATGAATCCCATTGACACTATAGAAACCTACAATTGCTCATCTTCACTGGGTTTGTCATGCATATAAAGGTGTATCATAAGATCGGGAGATAATCTGAGCTGGCTTTGTTTTTCATGCCCTTTATCAAAAGGGCATACAGCGGCAGCGCTTTTGGCACATCTATAAATTAAGCCTGGAATAGCATGCATGTGAACGTCACGGTTTAATAAGTCATATTTGTATATTTTTAAGAGCCCATCTAGCTGATTTGATAGGCCTGCAAGATCGGGCAGTTGTTGTCTAGCAAGTACGAACCGGCTTTCTAACGCGACACTGAAGAGTATTGTTTTCATGAAATCGCTTTGGTACGCACGTTTTATGCCACACAGACCATTATTGGTGATCGCTCGCCAGGTTCGTCCTAGAAATACCTGATAACGTTATCTCTAATATTGAGGCTGAATGATGAAGAAGCCTTAACCGATACGTAAACATCGGCTTTAGCAACAAACTAAGCAACTGATACTTTTTGAAGTTTTCAACCATCTCCCAGAAAAAAAATGCCGTTGTCGACTCGATGGCAAAAAACGAACGAAGGTAAATTTCTTTGCTTACTATATAAGGGTAGAAAAAGTAAACTACTGCCAGAGCTATATGTTTCGCACACTTCCGAACAAAACTGTTTAAAAACTTCAAATTTACATTAGAGTGTTTCGAAAGGGAAAAATTTTACATATTTATATTAGGTAGGCAAGATTTTTCCTTGAGATTTAGTTTTCTCCATAATTTTTCTGTCATTACTGATTACTATCAGCATTTGTTTTAAGTTGGCTACACATTTTACATTTGATGGAATAGTTTAACTTATTGTTTCTGTAAGATCGGTATTATTTATAGCAAATAGTAATGTTTGGGTAAAAAAATCCTTGTCCACATTAGACTATAAATCAATCGGTCCTGATCGCTGAAAGGAGTTGTTGAAAAAATTAAGGCATACTGTTAATGAATTCGATGATTTTTCTATATTAAGGTTTTCAAGCTTCTTCATCATCGATCGCACAAAATCTTGTGAGCAGTATAAACAATTCTGCGTTGTTCAGGGAGGTATCATAAATTCTCAGTCTCAGAAGGCCATCCCCAGATCCCGGGGAGTGAACTGTAAAACACTTGGTAAACATGGAGGATGGAAGTTAAATAGTCGTTCATAGAAAAATTGGCTTTTCCTTTTTCTCTTTAGGAGCCTCCGAAATTGAAACTTCTCATGGCTCCCAGCGTATCCAAATGGGAAGAATCGACGGCTGCACAGGTGCGCAGGAGTTATTCTGCTTTTATCCGCTAGTAAAGATTTTTCAAAATAAACTACCTTATTTATCGTCTACTTTTAGGTCGTGTAATTGCATATGGAATATTATTTACGGCACCCGTCAAGCCTACCGGGTAGATAACGCCAATATTTATGAAGTCCTAACTACTAATATTCACCTCTTTGTGGCTTTCGTTATTCTATTGATTATTGAATAGGATATAACTGTGAGTCCTGAAGTTTGTCTAGATATTGTCAAGGGATTAAATTCGCCCAGTGGCAAAGGCTCGCAGATGTTTGCCAAACGCAAGAAAAAGGTACGTACCTTTTTTGTCCTGCTAACGAAGCCCTTAGAATAACAAGCGTAACTTTGTCACATTGTTGCCATTATCTAGTTCATTCGCCGAAATGATTTTGCCATCTCCCACAACGTTGTGGCTATCCTTGTTATCTCACAGTGAGCCTCGAAGCTACGTTGCTTTGTTTTTAAGCAGTTCTGCTACTTTGACACGGTCACACAAAGATACTATGGTTAGTTCCATATTCCATAATATTGATCTAATCATTAATTTCGAAAACGATAGCGTTCTGCTACGCTAGTTGACTTTAACCTTGCTACAGCCTCTAAAAGTTATAGCTTCGTTCCAGTGCAATACTTCCATTATCTCAAAACAAAGTTACATCTGTTTAAATTAGATTTGAACGAATCTTATCCCATTTACATAAAGCCCAAAAAAGTTAAGAAGATTTCACGCTGGCACCTGTGGGAAGTGTTCACCGATTCCTCGAAAAATGGTGGTCGCTTCTTGACAACCCGGTTTCATTTCCATTACGGTCGGCAGAACCCGGAAAACTGAGCAGTTTCCATACTTAAATGTCTTGTACACCTACCACTGTAATTTTTCTTCGGTTTACTTGCCTTGCATAAAAAATATTATGCAGAAAATGATAGTTGTGAAAACACTTCAAATTTGTCCTAAAGCTATACAACAATAATAGCTTAGTTAATAACGTTGTAAATAAGCTTTATATAAATAACTACATTATTTTTGCAGTTATGCTTCATAGACACTGGATAGGTTAGTTATTTCAGTGGTACAATAGTTTATGATACATACAGTGCCATGGAAGGGGTAAGAAGAGGATCTGAAATTGTGTACTCGTGTTAATTAATTGGTCGAACTCAAATACGATATAGGTTGTTAGACGGCAAAATTGGCGTTTGTTATCATTGTTTATCAGTGAATGGATGACGTGGATTAACTAACACCAAATGTTCACGTGTAAATTCGTAAAAATCACCCATTTTGGAAAAAGTACACTTCATGAGGTACATCTGATGACGTTTGCTCCTTCTCGATGTTTTTCGAAGGTAGCAGACTATAAAGGCTCATACGGTTCAATTTTAACTTTAATAAACAACTTGGAACCTTCCAACGTCTCCATTGAGTACTACTGGAATAGTGTAGTACGAAGGAGGACATTGTTAAAACATGTTTGCTTAATGTGGTCGGGTTATATAGCAAAACGATAGAAAGACTAAATATCGTGAAACCTACTTTTTGAAAACCTGCCATTTAGGTTAGGGTTTCACTAAATATGCATGCATACATAGTAGCGTAAGGCTTTTGCGACCTTCATGGGAGGGGTCTTTCTTGCCAAAGTAGCCCGACTTGTGCCTAAGTCACTTAATGGCGATGATTTTTATGGCCGTTAAGGACCACATTGGATAAAGGTACATGAATCTCTCTTCGAAATAATCTACTTTACGTTGACTTGAGATCCCATGGTATTGCCGATCTCATTAGGTTGTATGTTATAAAAGAGAAAAAGTTGGAAACCATTGTATTGTGTCGCTCTACACTAAGAACGAGACACAAACATTCTACAGTGATCGTTATAGGGAAGAATATTGAATTCACCTAACTAATTATAAGCTTTTTTTTTATATGATTGAGGTAATCACGAATGCGATTGCAGTTATATAGAGATGACGCTAAACGTTGCAGTGTCTGTACGTACATTCGCAGTGCGTATAGGTGATCAGTAGACGATCGTAGAGAAAAGCAACATGCTTTTACTGCCTATTACAAAGAACGTAAAAAATATATATTGCAGCTCTTACCATTTAGTCATGTATATTTACGCATTCGAATACTATTTCTTTTTTATATATTTAAATTTTGCCATATTTTTTTAGCAAATGGTTGTGTGCTTGTTAGTAACTCGCGGTGATAACGAAATTAATTAATTTCCGTAGTCTGAAGATTGGGTTGTCGACGTAGATAAGTTGAAAGCACAGCTTGGTGATAGGTGGCCTGAAAAAGACCGACCTGAAGATGATGCCTCAGTCGAGCCCCCTCCACCTCTGCGACCACCGATTCAGGCGCCTAGAATCAAAGAAATATCCTCTCCGGCCGATCGGTAAGAGGTTCTTTTCAATAACACATATATATATATATATTTGTTTTCTTTATTGGAATTATAACTTTTTCGAGGCCACAATAGCAGAAGCTATCTATCTTGCAAAATGGTGAAAATTTGCATGGCTGAATGTTTAGCCTTTTGCTAATTTCAAAGATAAGCTCACAATAAGTTAGTAAACGTTTGTCTTGTATTTCCTAAAGAAATCGTAGCATGATTATTGTTTAGGGTCACCATTAGAGAACTTACGTTTAAAAGTTTCATGAGACAAATGTTTTTCCACGTTACAATTTAGCAATATATTCAGAATAGATAAAATTCAACTACCAGATGCATTCAGTGTTTGCATTAGAGGGACGGGCGAGGATATCAGCTTCTCTGCTATATGATGCAGGACTTGAGCATGAGCAGAGTGTAACATTGCATATCTGATATGGGACGCTTTTACTTATCTCATCGTTTTTTCTATTCAGCCAAGGATATGCACCTCGGCAGAAACTAAATCTGTCGTTTCTACGTTTAAAAACTGTCATATTGTTGCCCCTGACTTATACTTATCAATTACATCTCGTTTAACATAACAGACGATAGTGAGACGGTTTAGATTCAATGATAGGAAGTATTAAACCCCATCGAAGTGTATCTGATGCTGCTAACAAATCCATCCTCTAATCATTCATATAGACACGATTAACTGTAATATTTCAAAAACCGGATGCAATGCCCTGTTTCCTTTTTCAATATATACATATATTTTATAACGTTATAAGCTAGTATAGGGACTTAGCGTATTAGACCTTAAGCTCATTTTATCGGTCTTAGATATGCTAATTATTGCTAACGTCGACATACCTCGATCCATCCTGAGTAGATTTTTAAAATAACCAGGTAATTCACAATGTTACAAAATTAGTGTTCGTATGAATTTGTCCTTCTATTGTCAGGTACCTTAACCAGATCGGCCAGCAGGCCACCCAGTCTCGTTTACGATTGGTAAAAAGTCCTTGGGAAGCTGCAATGGAGAGTCCAACTGGTGCCGTTGATTCTGCCTTCCAAACCGTGCACGAGCTCGGCTCAGGTAAAGAAGGCCTCTTAGTTCAAAGTTGGACCACCATGTAACTTCCTATCATATTTCGGTTTGCGAAAACTGAATATGTTGGTATTTGGTTAAGGGTATTGTGCGTTTACCACGTATTGCTTGAACAGTGTGCAATGGGCCACATTAGCTTCAAATGAAAGAAGTTTTGATCCTGAATGGATTCTCACTTAAACAACTCTGACATATTATTAGTACAATTTGTTAGAAGCGTGAATACTCTGAGTGGAGCTGGTAGGACTTGGTTTATCTCTTTTTTTTGGCCTTTTATTCATTGTTCCAATAGACTACTAAATACATCCATAGTTTCGACTAGTCAATACGGCATGTCAGAGGAGATGTAGCGATGATATGCCGCAAATTATTCTGGCATGCTTGGGTCTATTGGTCTGTATATTGTCTTCCCTTTATCAAATATGGGCTTGAAATAGTATGGCTTTTGTGCGATGTGCCCTCAAAGGCTCTGTCTGTTGAAAACACGTAGTTCTAACAGTTAGGCCTACTCCAACCCAACTTGTAAATCAGTCACTTGAATCTGATAGCCTTTGTATGATCACACCGTGTTTTCTAGAAGTACCGTGGGACAATCAATCGGTCCGCATCCCGTTGGCGCCTCTGTCGTTTCCATCGGGCCCAGAAGTGAGCATAGCATCGTTCGATACATTACCGGCGCGTTCTCCTCGCGGCTGGGGTCAAGGAGCAAGCACAGCTACGCAAAATGTTTGCGTCACCGTCAATAAGAAGAAGCCACGTATGTGCTTTAGCTCTTTCGCTTATAAGCAATTTCGCAAAATAGCATTATTTTGAATTAGCATATTTATAGGGTTTAGAGAAAGGTTCTAGCTAATGATAGATGAACTCAGCCTTCGTCACGCTGGAAAAAGTATCGTCTATTTCTACGTGAGTAAATTATTATAATGATATATTTTTGACGTGCTGTTTTCGGTTCCGTAAACGTTCCGGTTTCACAGTTTATTCATTTAGACATTGCATATTACTAAACGTTTTTCTCGATTGCGTAGGCAATAAACACATAATGTGGGGTAAGACCCGAAAATTTTAAATGATCAATGAAATGAATGGTTTAAATTATCAAAACTCGCTCCCAAACTCTAATTTTATTTTCTGCTACAAGCCATACCTGTAACCGGAACATGTGAGGGACATCCCAAGGACGGCTCGGACGATTTACGCGTGTTTTTATTGTAATTTGCATTTAGTGTTGAGCGTGCTTTATAATGTGAGTGGCACATTTGGGAAAAAAATTGGGTTTATATAACATGTATGCCTCTCCCAAATGACTATAGCCATTCTGTATTTTACGCATATATTAAGTACATTTATTGCTAGACGATAGTGCTTGAATTTCAATGAAGATCGAATAGCATATTTATGGCATTATGTGAGACTTCTGTTTAACTTATGTTCGCAAACTGGCAAATTTCTTTTTATAACTTTGCGTTCCAATTGTTTCAAACATTCGTTTTGAACTTCAATCACTGGATGCCATCGACACGCTTGCTCTCCCTACCTACCCCCGTCCCTCCATCTCGCTACCTTTACCTATCTATCTTATAGAATTTTTATTAGTTCTAAATCCAGTTATATAGGTAAATATTCACGGCATAGCCGTCGTCGATACAACTACATCGTTTCACACTTGTTCAGGCGCATAATATATCCAAATGTAATTACAAGTTCCGATGAATCTCAACTTCTATCCAAGCACATCCTCCATTGTGACAACCACAAACCGACGGATCCGAATGACGCGAGCGTTTCGCTTTCTGACGGATATAAATGACCTTTTACAGATGTCTGCGCCATTTTATGATGGGTAATGAGCGGTTCTGATAAGCCACTATGCTCGCTATTCTAGATAATTACTAACAATACCGATATCTCACAAATCAATGTAAGTAGCAACTTATGTAACATATAGCAATGCTTGCCATATCCTATAGGTCAGTAACACTATATAATAATGCTACAATTGCTTGCTAGCTATTTAATAAGCACGCATGTTTTCAGCTCCCCCCCCACCCAAACCAAGTAAGATTCGCCCAGCTCAATGTAAAGCCACTGCTACAGCTGCATCCGTGTCGCCGATAACTATTGGCTCCCCATGCGTGGCACCCCTCCAAAGTCAACCAGGAGATGTTCAGCTCGACATTGAAGTGGGACCACCGGCTCAATTTTTCAATTCATACAACGAGTTCATCCAGGCACCCCCAGCTAGTCATTCATATTATCCGCTCCGCAGTAGCAGTGCGTCTAGCTCGGTACCGAGCTATGCTCCCGCTTCTACACCGTTCACTGTCCATGACGTAAGTAAACTTCCGCTTTAACATGCTCAGCAAAGAATAGTCAGTCATCGAAAACTTTTTCTCATACATACACTAACGCGTGTATGTGATAAGTTGCATTGGAATTTCGAGGGATCAGTCAAAAAGCGGCCTGCACAATTCGGCCAAGATGTTTCGTCTTCGAAGCTACTTCAGGACGTTCAGGACCTGAATCTAGTGATCAACTGTGACGTTTTATAAACACGCTTATATAATACGTATACGTTTGCATTTGTATGTTTTCGTTCCATGTGCTATGTACTGATAAATCCAAAGCTGTTTCTTTTCTCAATATTGGTTGTCAGCGCCAGAACTTCAATACGGCACCTCGGGGCTTCGGATTTGGCGTCTCGAAGAATCCCTCAAATTTTCGATCGGTGCACCTCTAATAGTTGTTATCGGCTTATGCATCTCAGCCCCGGTATGCTATTATGTTGAAGCGACTTTCAAAGTCCAAACAACTACGACAAGCACAATATACGCCGACGGCATGTGTGCGTACCTGTTGAAAGTCTGCCCGGATCACGCCTTGGTATGGAATCACAAAAGGCCGATAAATAAGACGAAAAATTACTTAAGGGAAAATAACAAAAAATTAGGCTACTACGTATAGCAGCAACAGTGTTTTTTTTTGTTTCGATCACAGTCTCATGCAGTGATACGCTTGACTACCCGCTTGTATCAGTGTGCTGATCCCTAGCAGATACAATCTAGCATTTATTTTGCCACAAGTGCTTTCGGGCATTACCCAATCGAATGGTGCCTTATTGATAGAAATACTAACGAGAATTAGATTATAAAATGCACAACTGTTTTATTTATTAGCACCCGCCAAGTACAACTATTTGCAGCTTTTACGATATGTACCGCAATGGCGCGATTTTCGAAAATAATAAACGACATTGTTTTTACAAAATTAAATGCTATCAGTTATTTAGGTCAGCTTCAAGTAGAGTACTAACGTTATCATTGTACAATGATATGATAAAACGAAAATGAGAAATACGGAATGTTATCAGCTAATCGACAATTGTGAGGTTATTTTGGTCATAGGTAAAACCGTACTTCAAGAAACGGCCAACTGATCATTTACAGAACAGCTAATGAGATTTTACTACATCCTGGCAAATATAATTAGGTCTTATTTAGCGGTGTGTATTTATCTTATTATAGATTATAACTGGTGATTCTTTAGTGAAAACAAAATGTTACGGTTGTAGATTGTGTAGGTGTACATAGATTGCGGTTCTGTGTACGAATATCAAGCTTTACCTCAAGCATTAAGAGAAGTTTTGTTTTCATCCATTTGGGTTAGAACCGCAAACAAGTTCGTCGGCCAAATTCGGAAACGAACTGCTAATAGATTGGTAAGGTTCTGAAGTTAAAGGCCGTGATGACACATGTTAGGTCCCCCTAATGCATGCTTCATTTAATCTCATGCTTCTCCAGCCTAGAAGCGCACCTCTCAGAGGTGCCTGTGTGACAGCCAATGTCTCTTGAAACCGAGCTATTTTCAAGCGGTAGTAAATACTAATAAGAACATAATTAACTTTTGGCGAACGGCGTGCCCTTTTTAAATGCCACGACACTGTCCGACTTTCTGAACATGTTTTTTGAGAAACATTTAACTTATGTACATTTGCTTAACTTAATTATTTATAACTTTGTGTATCACAGTTGCACTACTAAGGTTGTTCGCGTGCAGGGTACGTGATGCTTGGACGTTGTTGTGGCGAGGCGAAAAATGACCGCCAAACAATTTCTATGAACATCAAACACTAACTTTGCACTTTTGCATGTGCGTGCGTGCGTGCGTACGCGTCATGTCACTGCGTCCTACACTATGATCACTACCGCCAATGCTGCTAGCACCTATTGCTGCTACTATTACTGGCAGATGCATCTGGGCTCGCAGATACTTACGCGTAAACTTTTTCGTCAAATTTCTACGTCTTAAACATTGGTCAGTAAGCAAAATATACCGAACAGACGCACAACGTCTATAGCTGTCGTTTCTTACCCATTGCTGACTTGTTACCGTTACTATATTACAAAATCATTCCTGGTCAAGCTTTGTGAAACAAACAAGTTCAAAGGCCGCATCAGCCTGAGAAGGCCGAGATCAAAAAGTCTCATATAACATATAATCAGCATTAATCGACATTAAATTATTGCTTGAATATGAACCTAGCGGAATAGTCTGATGCGGCGGTTTTAAAGTAGAGTAAAGCGTATCAAATATGCTTGTTTTGATAACTCGGGAAACGTTGTTTCCGCGCTCAGTTGTCTCAGCTAGCACCGTGCTATGGTCACTCCTGACAGGATACTTACGAGCCTATAGGCAGTGGAGATCAACTATACTTTTGTTTGATTTGTGCATCAGACAACCGATTAGGAACTTAGATAAATTCCCAACTTTCTCGCTTATTGAAAAAAAGTTGACGCGCGAGCGAGTCCATAAATAGTCTAAAAGACACCATGGTAGCCAATTGACGAGACACTAAAATGCTGAGAGACCGTCTCGTCTCAAAATAAAATTAATTATCCGTCAGGAAGTAATTTATGAAGGTATAACAGTATTATATGCTGAAAAAATCGTTCGATAGCATAGAAGTACACGTAATAGTACATCTTTGAAACCTATAGCCCAATAGATATTTGTTGTCCAAATGATTCAAAAAGGACACGTTAAATGAACGACTGTTCCTTGAAGATTGGCTAAATTTATTAGTGAAATGGAAATGGGCCTTAAGAAGTTTTTTACGAAAGCAGTCAGGAACCCAGGCGAGACGTGTCCTCTTCTGGCGAAGTTGGCCATGTAACTATGGATATTATAGAGAACCACATCACGGGCGCGCGAGCGAAGGAAGCTCATTTTGGGAAAAATTTTAGATTGAAAGTCGTCTTGTGTTTTGAACGAACCCTTGACACATTGTTCGAAGAGTTCCGTATAGAGATAGAAAATTGTTTGAGCGTTAGCTTCGGAAAAAAAAGAAATACGTTAAGAGATCTTTAAAAATGGAAATCAGAAAAAATAGGTTAGATATGTGGATCATTGAGTAGCAATAACGTACAAAGTCAGCGGTAAGCTGTCAAACTTAAACAGCAGTAAGTGGACTTTCCATACATGTCAAGTGACGCGACTAGCATCCTAGTTCTAGAGGAACCTCGACGATGATTGAGGCGAAAATCGTCTAGATGAGACATTATTTATTTATATGATAAAGCCCGTTTCTCCTATAAATTTTCGCTTAAAATCAGATTATCTTATAGATCCTTAAGGGGTTCAGGATCAAGACATTCATTCTTCCATAGGACATTTGTTAGCACTAAACTTGTATGATTTATTTTTTAGATCAAAATCTGCAAAAACGGCCTCAAGCCTGCGTTGGTTCGGGGATTGGTAGAGCGGTAGGTAAGGCTCATTAGCGAGACGAATAAGTTATGTGGTCAATAGATCTTTGTAGCGCCACAGGAAATAAGCTTACTTTGAAAAGAGCTACTGCTGACAGACTCCAAATACAAAAAAGAATTAAGCTGCTATGTGAAGTCGAAGATATTAACGGATTTACGTTAAAACTAAGTATGTTCGGAAATCTTGCTTCGGCTAAATCTTGGCCTTAGGTTGAGGTATCTTGTAGTTCTTTGCACAGCAAATATAATTACCTCTAACTGTAAAAGGCTTTACGTTGCTTCTATCTAAAAACTCAATTTTCGGTTTTATGCCTGATACTGCCGTTAGGCATCCGATCAGACGGTTGACTGGCTCCCAGCACGAAAGTACGTATGTCTACGCTTAGATTCGATCTCCAGGTGTTTTAAGTTTACGAGACAAATATCACTACGCTATGCTAATATTACTATATTGGTAGGATCGTAAATGTAATCAAATTATAATAAAGCTATACCTCACAGAGTGTAATTATTACTTAATTGTATATGGCAATGAATACTGTAGTAGGGATTAGACATATGGAAGTGTATCAAACATTTGCTTTGCCACGAATTAGCAGTTATATCCTCAGTCTCTCACACCGAATAATTCTTCATGAGTAGACTGGCTGACACACCTCATAGGAAACTGGCCTGTATGGCAACTGGTTCTGTTTTTAGCTTTGACGAACAAAAATGGCCATGTAAAGATCGATGCACGAAAAGATTTCCTACTACAGCATTCATTTTATAGTTAGCACATAGATACAACGCGTGCAGAAAACATTAAATAGCTTCCAGCACCCGGGTCACGGCGTCCCTCATCAGCCCTTCAGATTAACCCAAGCTGGACGAAACCAGTGCCGTGGTCGGTTAACACCGTCCTACCAGCGCGGTTAGATGCAACAAGGCGTCCGCACTAACGGACCCCTTCCTGTAACTAACTTTGCAATTGTAGTTTTGTAGCATCAAAGACCAACGCGTTAAGTTCGCCTTTCCTTTCTAGTAGTTTAGTGCATCGCTATCGGTAACAACTTCCACATATCGTCCTTACGAGTATGGCAGGAAATTCTCATACAATAGCTAAGTACTCGATCTCTAAAGAATGCCGTCTACCCTCAGCGTCAGGCAAGCAGCGACTGGCGTAAGCAATGACCCGCTCGCATCCTTCTTTTACCTAGACTAGTACTGCTTCTCCTCCAGCAGGCGCTCGTCTGTGACCTCGTTTCTAGATCTTGCTGAAGACATTGACCGGCTCATCTTTGGTTTTGGATTCCAGCAAGTATACCCCCTGTCATGGTCGTTGTTCACACGAAATACTTCGCGCTGGCCACGGCGCGGAAGGGGCTTGCAAACTACGAAAAATCCAGTATAAGCTACCCGTAATAGAAACCTAAGCCTTTCCAAACAACGCGGAGGTAGACAGAGTTTCCACTAACAAGATATTTTCCGATCTGGGAAATATCCACCAGCGGTGATCTTGTAGCCTAAATGGTTCATCTTCCGAATTATAAAAGTGTAGTTTTTTGCTTTCAGCCGCGAGGCCAGCAGGGCCGATAGCCGTCAGTACTTTTGCACGTGTGTCATGCTAATGTCAAAGTCACGTGGGTAGACTATGATACCGACAAAGTAAACGAGATTTGTTTGGTATTTTAAAGGCCCAACGATTTTGTCCATCAGCATCCCCTTGAGCTGATACAGCCTCCGCGGCGTAGAAATTGGTTTTTTTTTCCTGGTCGTCCGTGTGCGTGCTGACCCATGGGTATCCGCTGATCAGATCCGGGTGCTAAAGTAGAGGGCGTCGATGCGCAACAACAGGTACATATCTCGCTTCGCGGCAGAGTTCCGCTTTCGGTAGTGGACACAGAAATATATGGTCCCGTTTTTTCGTCACCAGAATTTTTCTACTGGAAAAAAACCCTGGGATGAATGAGGGTCCGATGATGCCGTTGCTCAACATTGAACCTCATCTTCTATGACCTGCCTTTCTACAGGTGCAAATCGCCACGGATCGGTGGTAAAGCACCGAGTGGGTTCACGTGCTGAACAAGATCAGTATGAATCTGTCCGGCTGACCGAAAAGATGCCTTTATTGGCCCATAAAGATATAGGCGTTACTCTTGTTGTCAATCCCGTGTCTAGCCTGACCCGTTGTCATCGATCTTCTGAGCTAGCAAGTGACACGTGACAAAGCCCCGACATTCGTGCTCACGACGCCGTACGGGGACGCATCTCTGTAGAAACCCTTAAAGAACAGCTGAAGATCCCATCCAGTTGCCAGATGATCACAAATCGGATAACGGAACCTTCAATGTTTAAGAACTGAAACCTTCTAAAGAACAGCCTACTTATAACCATATTTACCACAGGGTTACGAGATTCTCCCTAAAGTTACATATAAGGCATCTATATATATATATATATATATATATATATATATATATACATAGGTGTGTAAAAAATAATTGAGGTTTGCCGATCTGTTTATAAGAAAAATTATTTTATTTTAGACGCTGTGTTTCGCCAATGGAATCACGAAGCACTGCGTCGACAGTTCAATGTATGTGCTACCATAACAATCCCATCTAAATAAACTGGCTGGGTGGCTGGTTAGCGGCGACTTTTCTTTGCGTGATCGCTGTGAAACGGTGGCATTAAGGGTCGAGACGACGACAAGCCGTTACCATCGCTGTCAACAAACACAAATGAAACGTCGAACGAACGATGAGGACGATGAATCAATACAACGACAAAGAGAAACGATTCAAGCGTGTTCACGGGTCGCTTGTCTCTTTGGTCTGCTTGATCGGGTTTTGGTCATGGCTTGACTTCCGCAGCAACGTCTGACACACAAGAGGCTTTCATTTTTGCGTGCGTTTCTGCTGCGCTATCGGCTTGTTTCTTCCAGCGTTCTCATCACTGGGTGACGCAGTAAATCAAAATGGCGATCGACCATCGCGCAGCTGCCGTACGGCTGCCGATCGGCCGTAACTATGGGACTGACGTTGTTACCGGCAACAGTCATGCTACGGCAGTGTTCGGAGCGCCGTCTATTTGCAAAGCTCTCTGACACCAATGGTAAGTTACAACTGGAAGCTGTTCCACCGTTGCCAACGTAGTGGCGCTAGAAGCTGTTTTAACCTCCTCTTAGCTGGTAATGCTGTTGTCGTTACCGCTTCTGCAAAAGGAAGCAGACGCAGCAGCCGCAGTAACTGAAGCGCCGGCGAAGCGGCAGAGCAAGGGAAGCGATAACGGTAGGAGCGGTGGCAGCGTCGAATCTAACGACGAACTGCACAGACTGGTCGATCGGCTGGCTGACTGACTTGATCTGCTGAGGGTCTTTCAGCTGGTCGAGCTGGTTGTTGTCCGTAGTTCGCTGCTGCTGAAACCTCATCACTGGATTGAAGTCTAGAGTCGTGTTAATAGCAGTAGTGCTCGCCGCAAATGAGGAGCCCTGGAAGAGCTGGGTCGGATAGTATCCACTGGGTCAGTAGTACTGGGTAGTGGAGCAGTGTCAGAACAACGTCGGCTTCCGTTAAGGGACGACGAGCACTACGCCGAACATAACTCCATTACTCGCACGCTCATTCGCCCGACTAACGTTGTACCTGTCTCCGTTCTTCATTGACTGTGACGCACTTTATTACGGTGCATTGTAGTCAGCCATATTCTGTCCGTGCGCAAGTCTTTGTTGTTTACCAAACAGTCGAAAGCACTTCGGCCTGCTGCTGCTGGTTCTAATAGTAGAACCGTAGGCTTTTTCAGGCTGTCTCATACGGCTAATGAGCTAAATCGCTGGCTGGCCAGCCTCACCGATATTAGTATACCTTCTGATTTCTGTCGCACTAACGTATAGCGTAGCAGAAAGCGACGACATCAGCCGAGGCCGGCTTACCTCCGCCGCAGTAGTAACTTCATTGGCCATTAATGGTGCGTGTCTAACTTGTGTATAGAGTACCCGCTGCGCAATCAACCTGACCTGACGTCAAGACCTGCAAAGTCAGTAGGATTTACTACAAAAAAAAAACATCTGACAATACGACACGCTCAAAACATCATATAGGCGTTGATCTGGCGCTAGTAGAAGTGCTTAACTTAGGAGAATGTTGAGAACGAACTCACTGCTCAATGGTCTTATGTGAGCACCTTCAGTACAACAAAGGTGAAGTGCAAGTAACGGAAGTGTACTTCGGAACTTGTCGTCGTTGATATCCTACTCGTCGTGATACTTATAGCGAGTCATCGCAGCTGTGGCCAGAATCTTAGCAGTTCATTCAAAGGCGGGAGTGGAGGCGTTAGTTCGATACTGACATAGTCTTTGGCCAGAAATTATCGGACCGTGCGTCAGGGCAGTGCTGGAAGAATATTACCAGCGAATGAGGAGATCGAGATTACGCTGAGGTAAGCAGACATTTTTAAATAACGCTTCTCCCGCTTTCTTTTCAGAGCTCTATAGCAGAGAATATTATAGTAATAACCTAATCGTCATTCTTATAAATAGTTCACTTCTACAAGTTAAAAATGATATGAGTTAAGCCTCTATTGTCTTTGCGTAATCCAATCAACAGGTCATATGCCTCTGTTTGTGTAGCTACGGAACCATTAATGATAAACAAATTGATTTTTTGTTCCGATACACATCTGTACCCATTTTAACATACAGGTTAACAAACTGCATTGCAAATAGTACTATAATTGGATAAGGTGTCCACCTAGGCGCTCTAGGGTACACTCCGGCCTTTTTAGAGTACCTAATAATACAATATAATTTTTCTAAAATGTTGTTTTCGTACAATATTATCGTCATCATCTGAAGATACCTTCGTATTATTGTAGGATGCGCTAATGCTACCAGTGTTCGATTTCATAGTAAACTTCACTGAAACCTAAATCCTAACCCAACCCGACCCAACCCAAATTAAACATAGATAGGTAAGTATTTCGGTAACCTCTGGTGTGCTAACAGCATTATAACAAGACGACTGATGAAACAGTATCTTCCGTCAGGTGTGCAGATTGCATCGAAGAATCAGTGCACATCTATAGTACTCGACTTGCCCCAATGGGTATGGCAAAAAGAATTATTTGTATTTAATGCAACGGCTATGTACATGTTAGTTTGAGGCTTTAGGAAAGTTCTTCTTCTTTTGGGTCAAATTTCCCTTTGAGGCTGACAGCGTTGCACTTAGCTAAACTGCAACTAAGATTAATACAGACAATGACTGCACAGCATCGACACACAACGGAAAGCTTTATTGATTTATACATTTAAGTGTCTTTCTGCTGGCCGAGAAGAGACTTACGAAAATACACACTTGTCGTAAAGCGAATGCCCCTTTCAACATGAGGAAATATCGTGTCAGATTTAAACTTACTATCCGATATAAACTCTTCCGTCTGTTTTGCGGGGAAGTCCTCTCTCTGTTCACAGTGACTAAAAGGCATTTCCTCGCTTATTGCCGCGTTCGCCTATTTTCTATTTTTTTTGCGGCTTTTAGCAAATCCTGTTCTTATCACCTGCCAGACTGTGCTGGGCGACGTAACCCCGTCCTAACTGAGAACGGCCTGTGTGAAACAGCAGTCAGGTAGATGTCGCCAGTTCCCCTTGCACACCCCGATCGTACTGCGACGCACAACTATTCGACCTCAATTTGTTTCTTACTTCAGCTGCTACTATGAACGATTACAACTACAATTGATTTACCATGATGACTACGATTATGTTTACAGTTATTCAGCTACTTGGGGCATCGACGGGCTGCCACGTTTTCGTTTGGTAGGCCATCCGGTCGTTGAAAACTACCCATCTTATGACACACGATATTCGTCAATATACGCGTGGAACTTTCTGCACTTTTTACTCGTTTATTCATAATTATATATA